CCCGGCGGTTGCCCTATATGGTAACGGCAACTGCCTTCGCGCTGCGTTTGCTAAGCAATATCGCAAGCGCGCAGAGCGCGCGCGCCGGCTTCGTGGGCCGGCGCGCGCTCTGCGCGCGCGCGCGCACGCATTTGGTTACCAGACCATCATCGGGGGGTCCACCACTCCTGCGTGACCCGTCTTATGGAAATGGAAAGAAAAACAAGCCCGATCTGCAACCCGGATATTTGTGACGCATCTTGCCGAAGACTGCAGGCTCATGCGCGCGACACATCAAAAACAACTACGGCGCAGATGGGGCTTTTTTCAAACATACCCTGCAGAAGATAGTCTTTGAAGATCTCCACCACCTTGGATTGGTTTCTCCCCTGTGTTCTTCTGTGCCCCGACGTGTCCGCGCCTCCGACTAAGGTGGCCACCCCGGCAGGAAGGTGTGGTCGCGCAGTGGCGAGTGCGCCGGTCTTTGCTTCCATCCTGGGCGTTCCGCGCTTGCTCAACCCGCGCTGAGCACCAGAGGGGCCGACATCAAGATGACATCAGGAGCAGAGCAACCACCGGGACAAGAACGAGGGCGACATTTTTCGGCTATGATTTCGGGGAAGTTTCTATCACGCCACACATACGTAATTCTACATGCAAACTCGATCTTCATGCCATTGCGCATTCTCACGCGCGATGGCATGGCACTTGGATCCTGAGCACTGATATCGTAAAACGTCGTGCGAACACCCGAACAGCAAGAACTTCAGCAGCGCCAAAAAAACTGGACTCTGACAAAGTCCATTCATCAGGAAGGGCTGCGACTTGGGTACCGCTTCGAGTATCACGCCTGGTTATCTACCATCATCGGTGGATCCACCGCTCCTGCGTGACCCCTAAGCTCAAAGAAGAGCTAGTTAGAAAACCAAAAAAAAAAAAGCTGCTCTGCTGCGCCGATCTTGTGAACAGTGTCCGTTTTGCCGTCGCAGCCCCCTTTCGGGCTGTGTGTGTTCGCGTGTGTAGTTCATTTGCGAGAGAACACCAGGAGCAGGTGTGCCGCCAAATTACTTCAGCAAGATACCACGAAACTTGCTGTGATTTCTATCTCTGACGACTGATCATGCGAGTTGTTTACAGAGCGGGGTGAAGTTGCACTACGCATGAGCGCATCTCTCGCACCGCCCACAGCAGGGTTCGTGGGCCGCCGGGGCGGGGAGGATTGGTGTGTTGGTCTTTGGAGGCCTTCGCAGCTCAATCTCCTGAGGAGCGGTGAAACATGTTGAACAAACGGGGCTGAGAGACGTGTCAAGCAGGCGAGAGATCATCAGCGAGCTTGTCGTTTGCTTTCTTGTTAACTTCTAAGAAAGAGTTACAACTGTGACCACACAGGAAAATAAAAAGATGGCGGCACCGAAAACTTTTCGCACTCGACCCTTCGCCCACCAACCGTACCTGGGTCATCTGTGGATTTGTTTAATCGTCGCCTTTTTCCCGACCCCCGCCCGGTCCCGCGGTTTTCTGCTGACCCGCAGCGACACGCAGAACAAAATTTTCTACTTATCAAAAGGAAAAATCCCCCCTCCCCATATCAAAAGGAAGTCTCTGATGCTGGATTTGCGTACACAGATCAGCTTTGTATTGCAGAGAGGCATTTCGGGCAGATCTCCAGGCTAGTTAGGGGCGTATGTGTCTAGTTGTTCAGCATGGCAAGCGGGTCACTTTTAGGGCCAACAGCATGGCAAATCGCTTCCATAGTGGGGCGGAAGCTTCTGCCCTTGTCTTCTTGCAATACAAATGTGATTTGCGACCTCAAATCAGCAACGCAAATTTTCGGAAGCATACCTTTTCGATATGGGGAGGGGGGATTTTTACTCAGGATACTACTCGCTTTTGCCCAGCTTCGATGAATCCATCACGCATTCTATGCTGTGTAAAAACGTCCCCACCCCATAGTCAAGATGGGAAATCTGCAACACAAATCTCCAAGCTTTGGGAGTTCTGCATGACAAGTTTCCATCTGCAGTGTAGTGCTGGTTAACAAGGAAAGCCGCATGCGAAAGCCACTTTCTCATCCTGTTTAGAGCATTACAAATACCAAAAACCGGCTGAAAATGCCTCTTATGGAGTTGCGCATTACAAATGTTTCTGTCATTGCGCATTTGCATTAGGGGAACTACGTTTTTACAAATGATACATTCGCAACTGGACAGCACACAGCTGGACCAGGATCCGGGGAGCGAGCCTCTCCGTGGGTGCCGTATTGCAAGACAGCGCGCATTTGTGTGCACAAGTCCTGCGTCACAGATTTCCCATTTGATATGGGATGGGGGCTTTTTTCATTTTGATAGAAACACCGTAACCGGAGAGACGGTGGCGATGAAGCGCATGAAGTTGCAGGATTACGTGTCTACCATCATCGGGGGGTCCACCGCTCCTGCGTGACCACAAACCGTCAACATCCATCATGGGCGCCAAAACAAAGGACATGTCCCGGCATTTCAGGCCGTTTTCGGGTGCCGCTTTCATCTCCCAAACCTGTCAAAGGCGCCACGGCATTACGCCTGCAATAGAGTGCCCACAGGCATGGGGGGCTTCGACGTGGGCGAACCTACCTAAGGAGACAAGATGGCCGCTACGCTGCCCTGAATGACAACCCACCCTTGCGGCCGCCCTGCTGATCCGTCGGCAGCGAAAGTTTTGGCCCCCTTTTTTATTCACCTGAAAATGTCTAAAGCGAAAAAAGATATACGACTTCGCAGACATCACGGGGAGCTTGATAGTTAGAGTAGACCCGCGAAGGCCTTGCCTGAGAAAGTAGCTCACTCGGACGGGAGCAAGACCAATGGCGCGCGAGTCGTGTTGCGCTTTGGTTCGAAAATCCGGCTGCTCCTGGCAAAAAAGCGAATGGGCCGAGGGACGGAGCCGTGGCTGGCGCGCTCCAAAAAAGCGCCGCGGCTAGCTATACAAACGCGATCTTCCCAAGCCAGCCTGGGCTCGCCGACCTTCCCAGCCGAGGCCGGCACCGAATGTGGGGAGAAAAGAAAAACAGGAGCGCCACAATGTCCTTTTAGTGAATATGCCGGGGGGTATGGCAAATATGTGGGGCTATACCACCCCACATATTCGCAATCGCGGCGGCATACTGAATATTTGGGGTGGAGGGGGCCCGCATAGTCACTAAAAGGAGAGCAGCGCCGGCGCCAGCAACCGACGCGAGACGGACACGAAGCCGACCTGTGGACGGGCCTCACAAAGCCCGAAGGCTTTTCAACAAGGCGACAACGCCGCCGCTAGTATGCTACGCGCGGCGAGCTGCGCGACGGATCAAAAACCACCCGCAGGGTAGGGACTGTATGCCCACGGGCAACCAAGACAGGTCGCGCGGCCGCCCTCCTTTTTGCCCCCGGCCAAGCCGGCACACACGCGGAGCCCTTTCGGTTTTCGTGCGGGCGCCCCAAGCCGTAGCCGCCACGCCGGAATCGCCCCAAGGGCTAGAGCCGCCGGGATGGCACTCGGCTGTGGTTGAAGGTCACTCCGGGGAAATTGACGAAAATCCTGCAGCGCCATGCTAGGCGCTCAATGCTTTGCACATGCAAGGGAGGCAAACGCAAATCGAAAAGGTCGGCTTCACAGGAGGCCGCCGCCGGCGCCAATATTTGTCGCGAGTCTGTTTAACAAGCCCCGTTACTTACTACATTAGTGGCGCCCGGCATCAGCCAAAACATCCAGAGCCAGAAGCGCTGTGGGTGCATTTCTCATGGAGACGCATGCCCTTTCCAACGAAAAGCGGCAACATGTTGCGCGCTACCTGAAGAGCGGCAACATGTTGTGCAATTCGCGAAACCTAAAATCCCCCCGAATATGTGGGCCCTGAAAAAAGGCCGTTCTCGGTTCCGCGGCGCTAGTTTGTCCCCCCATATCCTTGTCCTCATCTTCTACCATCATCGGGGGGTCCACCGCTCCTGCGTGACCCGTCTTACTTGCGCCGTCTGTAATGATCAGACCATGCGCAATGTTCGCCCCTCCGAAAGATCAAGGCAGTATTTCGTATGAGGCACAGCAGGTGGTCAAACAATGAGGACACCATGCGCAAGCGCAACGCATAGGACAGGAGTCGAGGTGCAGATCACTCCACCCGCGCGTTCTAAAGATCCAAGAAAGAATTCAAAGATAAAGATCAACTCGCGCGGGGAACGGAAATCTAAAGAGATCAATGTCTGTTGCATCATGCTTCTAAATCTAAATCTAACTCCAGCTGAATCTAAAGATCCGATCTGGTGGTGGGAAAATGTTGTTGACAACAGAAAGAAGCTGAGCTCTCTTGAACATGGCCGATCAAAATATAGCTTTGCTTTGCCTGATCTGCTCCGAAGCGGGGCTACACTAGTTCCTCAAATATAGCCGCTGCATAGAACAAGTAGTGCTTGTTCCGACGCCAACTGTTTCTATTCCAATTTACAATCTCACAGGGACGAGAATCGTAGTCAGATTTTCACAAAACCGACTGAAAATGGTGCACGTCTACAACGAAGCCACCAAGACCTTCTACCAGGTCCACCAGAAGAAGGTTGCCCAGCGACCGGCCAGGGAGGTGGGCAAGCGCCAGAAGAACACGGAATACATGAAGAAGCTCTTGGTATACTTGATATCGTCTTTTGGTTTTGTTTATTTCTTGCTTTGCTTTTGGCCGAAAATTATACCTACCAATGGAATTTAGATTTATTTTGGGTGCAAGCAGCCTTCTGCAGGGCTAATGTGTACTACGATGAAGGGCGATTGGAGGATTTTATAAAATGCAAATCTTGAATTCCACCAAAAATTTTTCCCCAAATCCTAAAACAGGCTCTGGAGGCCGCGCACCCGGTGAAGTGCATTTACACGGACAAGAAGGAGTAAAAAGTCAGACGAGGACGACGCAAAATGGTGCATAGAACAACTCTGAAAACAACAACCCTCGCTGCCAGATGACTTTAATTTGTGGCGCCGAACAGCACTTGTGCAGCGCGGAAAAATGTTGAGAAGATTCTGACTACGATTTAAAAATCTGACAGCAATTATTCTTGCTGGGAGGGTTTCCGCTGAAGTCCTTGCCGACGGCTTGGGAAAACGCTGCGGATCATGTTGCCTTCACAGAGAAGAGTGTTCCGGTCGTTGTGCGTAGCATTGTAGCACTAGGCTTTCCATCGTTGTTGCTACGATCTGAGATGGTGTCGAACGTAGTAGACCACCTCTCTTGCGAAACACACCATCGGTGCCGAGACCACCTCTCTTGCAAAGCACATCCATGCACGCTTTAGAAGAGCGACCGTGGCGAAGATGGATCAAAAGCAACAGTTCGGTTCGTGCGAACAGCAACACAGAGGATTGAAAATCGCGATTTAGATTGACAGAAAAGGAGTAATAATCAGTCAGTCTCCTTTCTCCCGTCAACATCATCGGGGGGTCCACTGCTTCTGCGTGACCCGTCTTACTTGCGCCGTCTGTACCTCCTGAGGCTGTGCTGCCCCCTTGACGACCCTGCTGCTTGTCCTCGTCTCCTTGGTTTGGAAAAAGGAAGCCCGTCACGTTCTGTAGTAGTTGACCCACTAGGTTTCCGCCGAGAAGCTGAGAGGTTGTACTAGACGTAGTCGTCGTTGTTCTCAGCCTACTATCGTCTACAACATGACCATCTTCTTCCATCTTTATGCCGTTACTCCCTAGGTCTGCCACGGCCGGATCGTTGTCAAGAACTTGTTCTAGTACGTCCACTTCCTCGTCTTTCATCTGCTTTTCCAACAATTTGAAATCCTCGCTATTCAGCGTCGGCTTTGCTCGGAGCGGCTGCACCGCGGAAGAGGGTGACGTCGAAGAACCATTTTCAACGAGAAGAGCATCAACATCTGGTCGATTTGCATTTCCATTTTTGTCTCTCTCTACTTTCGCTTTCCCGCCCGAAGCGGCACCGCCACCTGCCTGCTGCATGAAATCTCGCAAATTTTTCCCGGCGCCACCGCCCAGATACTGTTGCGACGCTTGGTTGGAAATTCTGGCTGTTTCGTTGCGGCGGTCCGCTTCAGCATCCAACACTGCGCGCTCTGACGGCGTTAGCACGTACGGCGAATCTTCCACGCGGCCGCCCGGCTCCACGTTTAATATTTTGCCCTTCTTCTCCTCTCTATGTCCTAGGCAGCAACAGCCCACCAGGCAGCACAGCAGCAGGAGCAACGCCAAACAGGAGAAAACCACCAACCAGAAGAGGTCCAGCTCCTCCAGAAGTCCTTGTTCTCTACTAGTACTTGTTCTCTTTTCATCCTTTTGGCTCTTGGCCACGAAGGCAGCGGGGGTTGTGTGGCCGGAGCGGGCGGCGGCTTGACTTCGTCTAGCGTTAGTGAGCAGCAAGCTCTTCAAGTCATGTCTACTTGTTCCTCTATTTAGTTTCAGCGGAGGACCAATCGTTGCAGTTCCTGTTCTCGTCCCGGAATGACCGCTGCAGTTCCTGTTTGATCAACAAGACAGGGAAAATGGCCGCGCCCCGACCTCGGTTGTTGACGTGAGTGCTCGGAAAGGCCCGGCCGTGTCGCCGAGTCCTCTCGGAGAAGGCATCCCGAGCCGGATCGCGGTTGCCTGGCTTCTTGGGTTGCGTGGGTGTGGGGTGGCATCGGGCACGCAGCTGGCTGCCCGGCGCGGCTGTGCCGCCCCTCGATGCGAAGGCGGAAGCGTAGTGGGCGCAGGTGGGCGGCCCACATTCGCCGACCGCGCCAGGTTTCGGAAGGGGGCAAGGGGGCGGGGGGAAGAATTTATGCCTTGGGAGGATTACCAAAGTGGCCCGCGTCGCAGCCGCAACGAGCTGCAGAAAAAGCGCAAGCGGGGCAAAGGAAGCCAAAGCAGAGCTGTGCGCCCAAAGGTAGCTGCGATGAGCATGCCCCAGCCCAAGGCCCCGAAGGTGGGAGATGGGACCTGCGCCGCTATGAGGCTACATGACTTGCACGGCCGGCGTGGTAAACGAAGCGCACAAAGTGCTAGAGGTGGAAGCGGATCGACGCTTGTCGCGCGCAACTAGAGGCGTAGTATGCCCCTTGGGTGTCATCAACAGTGCCAGGCCCTGCGAGCCCCAGCAACAAGAGGCGACCGCGCCAACTCCCTTCGCCTTATTATCGGGAGAGGCGCGAGACCCAAAATTTTTTTTTCGTTTTGTTGAAAAGAAGGTCTTGTTGACAGATTTCGCTACCGTACCAATCGTTGCAGTTCCTGTTCTCGTCCCGGAATATGAAGTAGACGGCGAAGATCTTCTTGACGCGAGCGCCTCGTTGTCCTCTTCGTCAACATCCCTGGGCCACCTGGGGTAAATAACTCTTTTACTTTTCCTGCCCTCGCGTCTCCGGGTCCTTGTTTTCAAGAGTGTCACCGCAGAAACGCAACAGGAGCAGGACCATGATCTCCGCGATAACATCTTCATAGAAGCAGGTGCAGGAGCAGCAGTAGTCACAGTTCTTGAAAAGTAGGAAATAATATTATCTCCAACAAGATCCCCCGTCGCCATGGTGGTTTTCGAAAACTTCGACACAGTCTGCGACCAATTGAGAATTGCAGGAGAAGGCCGCGACGTCGGTATTGCAGTATTGAAAGGTTGTGGCCATGTGGAATTATCCTGCTGCGCCGGCCGCGGGGAACGCTCGTCGATGCTTGCAAGGAAAAGAATGATGTGGTCCGTCCAACTAATAGAACCCATGCAAAGGAAGACGACGACGAGAAACATTTTGAGATTATTTTTTTTGAAAATCATTTTGAACCAACTACTTAGTCGAGGTGGGCGAGGCACTGGCTTGCTCTTCCAGGTGGACGAGGCCTTTTCGAAACCACAATAAGGTGGTAAAAGAAGAGCCTAGTAGAGCATCTTCATCTATCTAACTACAACATGATCGGCAGAGAAGATACATCAACAAAATCACGTAGATCATACTATAGTCAGAATATTATCACGCACTTAGACTTACACGAGTGTGGTAAGCGGGGGCTAAGTTTCCTGTGTTTTTCCTTTTGGGACGGTAAGTAGAACTCGTGGGGGGTATCGCTTAAGAGTTGTACTCTTGAGTTGTACTACAACGACCACTAGAGCGACAGCCCTGAAGATCTGTTGTGGCGAAGACGAACAAAAGAGCTGCAACCAACACCACGAAACACCACGACACGATTGCTGGTTCATCTGGTCAATACAATTGACATTCGAAAAGAAGGACGAACTTCTGAACGAGGCTCGGAACGCAAAGGACAGATTGCAACTGCAACTTCACCAAACGATGACGAACGAATTCTAGGTGGCGGACGGAACGAATCTTCATGCGTTGCGTTTGCAAAGACGAAAAAGAAGTAGAGTGAGAAATACGAATAGTGGATAGTTCGGCGGATTGATAAATATTCGAGTCCAGCATCGAAAACGCAAACTTTACGATGCGCATCCTGCGAAGAAATTATGGAAGATGGTGAGTAATTGATTCATCTGTGCGCACACCTCCAGTTTTTTCTTCTTTTTTTCTTGTGTGAAGATGTAGATGCTGGGGTTCATTTACAAACTCGAACTCTGGAGGTTCCTCTGCGTTTGACAGTCAAGAAAGGTTCGATCAACTTGAAGCTACAACGTCAATTTTGTACAGCATAGTATGAGCAAGAGCATGCATGATACTAGGCTAGATCTGTAGTCATGCATGACTAGTGTCAATTTGTATGTAAAGTAAAAGCAGCACCTTAGTGTGTCGCTCTGGCTGAAGATGATGATAACCTTCGTAGAGGAGCAAGCAACTGAAGGTCCATACCATTCGAGTGGAAATCATGGCTAGAATCAGCAGCCACATGATGTGCCAACGCAGTGTTGCGATCTATGCTAATGGCGCCATACTGTTCGCGGCGGATAGGGGAAGATGAGGCATGGAATAGTTTTTTGTTTGCTGAAGTTGAAGCCAAGCCACCTTTATCGTGCGGGTCGCCAGAATCCATTCCAAACCACGGCTTGTCCACCTCGTCGCAGCATGTCGATGACAAGTGCCAGGAAAATTTCCCGTCGCTGCCACGACCAGGACCAACCTCCTGCTGCGCGTTTACATAAAAACCAGGACTGGCTGCGGTACTCGGCGTGCTTTCCGGAGTTGACAAGGTTGAGTCCACGCATGTCGACGGCGTAGTTGCATCGTCTGCAACGCCAGCAGCTTCTTGTTGTTTGGCGGCAGTGTTTCTTGTTCGTTTATGCTGGGCAGCCGGATCCGATGCGAGTTGTGACTTCGTCAACATCGGGGAAGAGTTACCCGTCGCGGAACAACTTCTGGAAGTAGCCTTTGATGGTAAAAAGCGAAGCAAGGGCCTTAGTGCATTTTCCTTGCCTTGTTCGGCGACATCGAGCGCCACGCCACATTCTTGCGCGGCTCTCTGGCTAGGGTGTGCGATAGAATTTGTAGACGCATCAAAGTCATCAATAGGACTTCTAGACTCGACGGCATGTTGTCCTTGTTGCTCCTTCGGCTTTGCCAGCCAGAGGGAGAACATGAAGGGTTGGTACCTGTAGGCGCTGCTCCACTGTGTTGGAGTGGCGCTTGTTTCTGATTGTGATTCTACTGTTCGTGCTCCTGGTCCTGGTTCTGGTGGAGAGAGCTTGGTCGCACTTGCTTTTGCTTTGTTCCTGCCTGAGCTTGCGCTGCTCGATGAAGCTCCGCGCGTGAGAAAATTATCCATCGCTCCGTGGTCTAAAAACGTCGGCACAAGTAGGTCTCGTCGCTGTAGTTCCCTGGATGCCTCCACTGTAGGAACGGCTGCTCTGCAAGTCGCACGAACAAACGTCCTCTCTCGTACTTCCACCTCCTGAGCTAGGTCAATTCCGCGCAAAAAATGCTTCTCCAGCACGTCCAGCAAAGCCAGCTCCGCATCCATCGCCCGTGTTGGAAGTGGCTCCCGCATGTTGGGATCGATATTTGTTCCGCTGCCGATCTTGGCGTAAAAGCCTCCACTCGATGTCCCGGAGGAAAAGTTCTTAGGATTTTGTTTGTCAGTCTGTGCTGTGCCTCCAGAGCGGCCTGCGTTTTTGATTTTGCCAGGAATACCATTCTCGACGTTCACCCGAGCTGCCACTTCGTTCACGTGCGTGCCGATGATCCTGATTTTGCTTATTCCGCCTCCACATTCTTGCTCTTCACATTGCGATGCTGTTGTTCTTGAGCGGGGTTGTTCATTTAGTGGCTCACTCGCCGAAGTAGCTTCGGAGTGGAAGTCGGCTCCACGACCGCAAGAAGCGAAGCCGGGATGTTCTCGATGGTGACAACACGTTTCAAAAGGAGTCTTTTCTACCACTTTCCAACTCGAGTGCTCGACATTCAGCAGCGCCGTCAGCAACAGCGTTGCTTGCTTCGTGGCATCTACCAAGTCCGCTAAATCGTAGCGAAACAATATTACCGGGGCAGCTCCTGCAACAGAAGCCGTGGTCGAAGAGGACATCACAGCAGGGGGTACTGTTCTCGTCGCAGCTCCTGCTGCTGCGAAGACCGGCCGCGGGGGGCTGGCGCTGTTCAGAGCCAGTTCATCCGTTGGCCTCGCGTGCCGCAAAAACGACAGCAGATTCACATACGCTGTGCCGATTAGCTCCTGCGCCGACTGTTGATGTTGAAGTTGAGGGGGTACAACGGGTGGTTGTGATAGACGAGAGTAGCAGCTTGTTTGTTCATCTTCTGTGTTGTTCGTCCCGTTCGCTTGCTTCTGATCTTCTTCCATGTTGGGGGTCCTCGTCTGATGATATCTTTTGTCCTCGTCGTTCTCAATCTCAATCTCATCTAGTGCAACATGATCTTCTTCCAGGAGTTCTTCAACAACAGTCAGCTGAATCTTGTTCGTACTCAGCAGATTGTACCATTTTTGGACCAGTTTCAGAAACTGCTCGCGCTTCTCAGCAGCTCGGGCTACTTGTTCCCGGTCATCTGCCACGTTGGAACAAATTCGGCAGATGTTGTCAACACCATCTTGCTCGTCGTCTTCCCAGTTTCTGCTGTGAAGAGATTCAGAGTTCTTCTTGCCAACCTCGTCTACTAGGCAGCTTGTAGCAGTACCACCTGTGCCGACCTTGCGGAGGTCTTGCTGGCATGGAGAGCCCTTATCATGTAGTGTGGAGCTTTGTTTTGCTTGCTCGCTGTGGTGGAGGAATGGCGACGGGTTATAATCTTCCCCTTCTCGCAAGGAAAACGCAGGGGAAGTTCGGCCTTCACTGTTAGCAGGTCTCCTGGCTTCGATTGTGGTGGAGTCGCACTTCTGTGGCCCACGTTCGTCCTCCTCGTGGTACTGCAGATGCTGCATCGCCGCGACCACAGCCGTGCGCAGAAACGCAAATTGCTGGGATTCCACCGTAAGCAGGTCGCGAGAGCCGTAGCCGGTCTTCATAAAGAGTGGCTGTTGTTCGCCTTCATCGTTTTGTTCCGCAAAAATATTGCCGCGCTGGTACCGGGTTTGCATTCGCTGATCCAGCGTCGTGGCTGCGTAAGAAGAAGTTCCACAAGTAGGCGTCCTCCAGAGGTTGTTGTAGACCTGGCTTCTACTAAGCAAAGGGCGTCGTGCGAGAGCATTGCTATTTGCCGCTGTCAGCAGTGTGTTGATGTCGGTGCAGGAAGCGCCGCCCCCGAATTCTTCAGAATGACGATGACGTGGCGGCGAAGATAAATCTAACTGCGCAGTAGAACCAGCAGACCCAGAACCGGAGCGCGGCCGTAATTCATCATCATACTGCGCATCGAGACCACCAGGGCAACCACCTCCAAATGTGCATTCATAGTCCAGAGCCTCTTTCAGCAACCTGCACTCCTCATCAGCTCGATGCCGTGCTCGACCCATAATTCTGCTTGTGGTCCCAGAATCCGCACAAGCCGAACAACCCCGGCGAACGTACTCGTCGATTTTGTCTCGGCCCAACACACGATACCGCGTCACAAACGCAGCCTCATTCCTAAAAATGGGCGAGCGTCTTCGTTTCGGTCGTGGTGGAGGGTCGTGCAGGTTTTTCAGGGTAGTTTGCGGTCGAGCGCCGGGAGCTGCAGGAGGAGTGGTGGACTGCGTTGAAAAAACTTCTGGTCCTCGCTGTCGGCCTTGTTCTTTACCAACAACAAGAAGGTCTTCTTGATGCAAGTGAAGATGTTGTGCCTCGTTGTAGTTGTACAAAAATTCGCGCGCCTCGACCAGCATTGCGTTCAGCTCTGCAGCGAATGCATTGCAAACACCCCTGGATGTCTGGAAGCATGATGCAAGATTTGTCATGCTAAACCGAAGTGCGACACACTTTGCCTCCCCCTGTGTAAACGGCCGCAGATGGCTGTCACGCAGGGAAGGTGGGTCAGGCGGACATCGAAATGCCATGCAAGATTTGTCATGCAGGTTTTCAAACATGGCTCATGAAGTCTGGAATGCAGGACCTAGCGCGACAGATATGATCTCTATCGCTATCCTGCCTATGCTGCATCAGAAACTCTCTCCCAACTTGCTGGTCGAAAGAAGAAGTGGACAGCTTTTGGTAATCACGCAACACATCATACTTTTGCATGATTCAGATTTGGCGTGTCAAGATGCAGAGGTGGAGTTCCAGAGGGCTCAGACATATTTGCGGTTGATACCGCGTTTTTCTTCACAACATTCCAGACTAGGCGTCTGAAATCAACACCCTCATCCGGGTCTTGCGCTGCGACTTCGCTCTCCACATGATTCTGTAGTTGTTGAAATTGTACACGCATAGCCTCCGAAAATGTCCTCGGGATTCCGAAATTGAGGTACTCCGAACGGTAAATCCGGGACCGAGTTGCCAGTTTCTGAATCAGGAGGGACGATGGACCAGCGCCGCGGGGGGCTCTCTTATTCGGAGTAGGAGCTTCTGCCTCACCTCCTTGTGGCGTCGGAAGAATTCCAGTACCTTCATCCTGACGCGCAGCTTCTGCTTCCTCCATTTTTCCGTTTAGTCCAGTTCCTTCGTCACAACCAAAACAACTTCCTGGCGCAGCACCCCCTCCGAAAAAAAGCTCTCCGAGCCACGGCTCCACGTCGTACTCGATCCACTTGAGAACGGTATCGTAGGCGCGATGCAGCTGCAGTGGGGAATTATAAAACGAGACATCCTGCTCCTCGTGCTCCATCATATTACGACCAGGTCGGTCAGTCACAGTCTGCTCGCCACCTCTGCTGAATAAAGGAATAGTACCCGCAGAATCATAATTTGGCAGAGTAGGAGCTCCTGAGCGATCATTGCGTTGAGAGTTCTTGTAATTGTATCCTCCAAACACGTTGCTTTTCAGACTGAGCGAGTTCCGCTCCCAGAGTGCATGCTCCCGCAGAAACGCGACGGATGCCACTTTCGCTTGCTCCAAACATATCCTCTCCAGGGCCTCCAAAATTGGCCGCTTCGTCTTGCTGCGCGGCGGGGGCGCTTCCTCCGGACCCGGAGGTGTAGTTATAGAAGTGGAGTCGACGTCGTGTTCGTTGACCGGGCGTTCTTGTTGCGTAGGGGAAAAACTACCAGAATAAACATCATCAGGCGCAACACCCGAGAACAACAAAGGGCACGCCGCTCGTGGTTCGACTTTGCCTGCAGAGGTTGTACTTGTAGCTCCGCCTGCTCTCCTCAATTTCACCACCCCCCCTTCGTCACCTCCGATGGCGCGTAGAAATTCTTTATACTTGCCCAGAAGCAGAGCCTCACCCGATTTGTAGTGCGTGCGGCCGGTAGCAGCGGCTGCTCGTCGAGAACCTGGCTCGGCAGAAGCCGATGCTACGCTATGGCTGCGGCATAAGAAAGAACTCGCGTGGCTGACCTGTTCTGCTTTCTGTGCCAGGAAGATTTCTGAGTTGCACAAATAGTCCTGGCTCCATGGGGACGGAAGAGCGCCGACCACGGCTAGTAAAAGCGGATGGAGTTGTATAACATGCGAGAGAAAAATGAGTACGCGCCGCTGACGAAAAACGACTTCCACCCGGGCTGTTGAATTAGTAGGGGGCCACGTCCTCTTCATTCTCCCTCCTTTTCCAGCATCTGAAGAATGAGAACCGTCACTGCATGGACGACTTTCTTTCAGTTTTGTTCAGATGGCCCATCTTTCGCTTCCAATATTATCTTGGACTCATTTGTTGATTCTGTCGGTACCTGACGCTGACCAACAACTCTCAGCAAAACGATAGCTTGCTCTTGCTCATCCAAAGTTTCGCAAACGTTAACGTAAAAATTCCTACGAATGCTGAAAATATCTTCCGACTTGAGGTCATGTTTTTTCGGGTCCGACTGCTATCCGGCGACAGAGTTGTCATAACTTCCACGGAGAACGGAAAACAAGATCTGTTGACCGACGAGTAAGGGACGAAAAGATGATGACGAAAAACGAATGGCGGCTCTTTGATCACAGCACCCAAGAAACAACGAGTGGGATTGCAAAAGGAGCAGAGCTCCGATGCCACGGAGTGTTTTTTTATTTTTTGGGGCGAGTCGCTTGTCAAGTACAAATTCGCTTTATTTGTGAAACCTCCTCGAAGACGAGCACTACATACTATTACTTCCATTTAATCGAAAAGAAGTAGCAGAGCACCTATTTTGGTGGGCAACCCGCATCATACGAATACGTAAGTATCTCTATTTTTGCTCACAACTGAGCAGGTTACGTCTGCATTTTCTTTTTCGCTCAGAGATGAAAGTATAAAAACAACTCAAATGGTCGCGTGGTCGTGCTGAAATATCAAGAAGTGTGAATTCTATCTGGCTGATGTACAACTCAAGGAGCTACAACTGCCCTGCTTTATCGGCTTAAGCTCCCACTTTTCTTTTTTTCGCCGGTTTGTTCTTGTTATCCCCAGCTGTTGTACCCTCTTCGTCCACGTTCAGCGGACACTTCACCTTCGGTTTCCCGAGAACTTTGCAGCAGTTATAGCCCCACTGCTTCGTGGCAACGTCGTAGTAACTGCCGTAGACCGACTTGTGCCCGTACCGAAACACGTCTTCCTTGTACAGTGTGGAAGTCGTGTGCTTCTCTTTCTCTTTGTCTTTATTCATCTGTGCGTTCTTATCCTCGATGGACTTGTTGTACAGCGTGGACCTGGTCTCGTCGTGCTCCGGAGGTTTCGGCACCTCCACTGGATTTTTAGCTTCATCTTGCAGAAGTAGTTCAGAAGGAGGTTCTAGTACTTGTTGCGCGCCGCTTGTTTCATCTCGTGCCAGTACCGAGGACGTCCCCGGCCGCTCGGTGAGCAGGAGGGATGTTGCGGAGGAAGACGCCGCCGCCGTCGGTGCAGCAGCACCGGAGGATGTAGTCCCAGCAGGAGCTGCAGACGGCAAGTCGTGCGCCAGATCTGCCTTGTTTTCACGACCTTGCTCACCTTGTATTTTTAAAAGCGCGGCACTACTAGAAGTAGTAGCGGACTGAAGTTTGTGTTGGTCATCGTGTTCGTTTATCATCGTCTCGGGCCGCGGGGGCACGTTCATATCTTCCAAAATTTCGCTTGGTTGTTTGTTTTGTTGGAGCAAGGAGCTTGAGCTGCTGCTCGAGGAGGCGGCTTGTTGATGTTGTGGCGCCAGTATTTGCGGAGCTGCACCCAATCTCGAGGATGAAGAGGAGGAGGCACCTCCAGATCCAGCCCCGCCCAGCAAAGACCCTAACTCCCTTTTACCTTCCTCGGCCGCAGCAAATGATCGTGCTGCCTCGTCGTCTCCTGGCTCACCGAGCAACAACCCGGGCTCGACATCTTCTATCGCACGAAAAAACGGCGTCACTGTAACTACGATCAAGTAAGGCTTGCATAGCATTTTCACATCACAAGTTCAAGTTCTTCTACATGACAAAGAAAATTAGGCCCTCCATGGTGCACCTGGCCTACTAACACTACATTTGTAGAGAACAACTACTCGGTTGCACATCCGTATAAGCATAACTCTCGTCTGCTGGGTCCTCTGCGAGGACGTCACCAAAGATTATACAATGAAACACATTTTTCTACTTGCGATACCGTCCTGGTCACCCGGATGAATGTTAATTTCTTCTTCGTTTACTTCTAGCGGTCTCTTCCCGCTACTGCCTGCCGCTCCACCGCTTGGGCCTAGTCCACCCTGCTTCAGCCGTTCCTGTTCTTCCCGCATTTTCTTCATCCTCTTCTGCGTCTCTAGGACCGACTGCTTTTCCTCGGGGCGCATGCTGTTCACGTTCTTCCGGGCAGTGATGTCCGCGAACAGGTCCTTAAAGCCGCCCGTCTTATGAAAGCCGCGGGTTGGAAATGCTCAAAGTGGAAAGGATTTGTGATGCATGAAAATGCGACACAAAAAAGACTGCACTGCAGAGAACGCGATGGAGGCCGACCCCGACTATTGTCCTGCTAGGGGTGAAGAATTGGGGTGCTGCTTAGCACGACAGAAGGGCACCCCCTTGCCTTAACCTGCATGACAGACATGCTTTAAGTGCCCGGGAAATTTGTGATGCGCCAACTACAAATGCCGCTTCAACTGGAGTCGATTTTTTGCATTACAAATTATTTCCACTTTGAGGATTTCCAACGACCTGAGACTTGCATACGTCTTGTTCCGCTTTTCCTCGGCCGTCATCTTCGTTTTCGCCGCCGCCTGCTGGCCCAAAAGGAGGTTGGACTTCCGGATCTCTTCCAGCTTCCGCTCCTCCTTCAGCCGCATCTCGCGCTCCTCCGCCTGCCGCTCCAACTCCAGCTGCCGTTCTATGGGGTTCTCAAATGTTACATTCTCAACTGTTGCATGAATTTGTAATGCAAGACTGGTAAAAGTGCAAGGAGGAAGATTGCGCCTTTTGCATTACAAGTTTGGCGCAGATTCAGTCGCGGCTTAGCCCTTCGCAAATTTCTCATGCGGAGCAGCTTGATCGTGGGGAGGATGATGGTGCTTTTGCATGACAAATTCATGCAACAATTGAGAATGATGTAACGTTTGAGAACCCCATACGTTCCTGGTGCATCCACATCCGCTCTTGGTTCTGGTGCGCCGACGGGTGGAAAAACTTCTGCGCGATAAACCCGCCCGCCTTCGACCCCAGGCCGGACCGAAACGCTCCCTTATCGTGGAACTTTTTGGACATCTTGGATGTTTTTTTTTGCCGAGTTATTTATAATTCAAGTCGTACAACAAGTATATCACAGGGACAGGCTCAAAAAGCATAATTGGACTAACTTCCTCATTCGTGAAACGACCGTAGAATTCATTGCCCGCTGAGGATAAATTTGTTGTGCGTCGTGCATCCAGGAAATGATGGAAAGGAGTTGTATTTTAGAGCGCTAATTTATGGCAGATTTGTTTCTACTAGAGCTGCTTTAGACCCAGTTACATCGCGACTGCACCTCTCTAATATACTCCTCTTACTGATCGTTAGTCCGGAATATTGAACATGAGCAACACATACAGTCCTTCGGATTTGCTGCCAGACTATCATTTTCCTTACGGCATCAGGGACTCGTTTTATGACTAGAACTAGTTTGTTGATCTAGGTGACTGAACAAAAAATTACGACCATGTCGTCCATCTATCTTCCGGAACAGATAAACTTTTTGTATCAGTCAAGAATGAGAATCTGTGTTCTTCATGATTTCCATGCACAGCCAACTTCTGTCTGCTGAAACAAGAAACACGGAAATTGTGTTGATCGTTTTCATTTCTAGGTTCTTGTGCCCAAAAGCTCCAGTTGCGACTTGCAGCGCGGCGCTGTACTATAGGCGTAGGTCGTGAAGACATTATTGATTGCATTGATCTTGCACTTGCTTCGCGTGTCACTTTCTGTTCCACCTATTCATTTCAACTTCACCTTTGAGTACTAAAAAGCTGCTGTGCAATTCGAAAGGCTCTCTTCATTTTTCGAGTTCGGATCATGTAAATTACCGCGTCATCTGTACGTACCCTGGCGGCCCTCCCTGACTGCAGGATGCGTCGTAATCCACAAAACCCTCTCCGGACCCCGCGCCCTCCATTACCTGGCCAAACGGGGTCGAGATTGCCAATCCGCATTTCTTGCGGTACTCTCGCATTATGGCCTGGTCAAAGCTGGAACTGTTTCAACTGTAACAACATCTACTTCTAGTTGTACATCAGTCGATTTATGACACAGAGCCGCGACGTCCTTGCCGCTGTGTCTTTGACTTAGTATGGCAAGAAATAATTTATTCGTACGGATTATAAGTAAATATTTTCCTTCGTGCCGGACCCGGATCTTCGACTGTCAGAGCTACTTTGTCATGCTAAGCTCTTCCCACAGAGCTATTTTGTTGACCACAGCGCGTGCGTAACATTTTGCGTCACAAAAAATCGTTGCAATTCCAGTTGAGATTGTTCCAACAGCTGACGAGGCCATACGCACTGCCGGCTGGTTCTGAAATTCCTGCTCCGCCATCTCGTCTATCGACCAGAAAAGTTGTGCTCACGTCTTCAAAATCGGTACTCACTTACTGATTGCAGCAGGGCATCATGCCAGGTTTTATTTTCGGGATTTTGTATATCATGAAAGAATGCTTCTAGCGCTAGGGGCACTAGAAGATCGTCTATTTTTTTGCTTTTTATACCGTGCGTTCTTCTTCTTGATCTTGCATGACAATTTTTTCCGTTATTAATAGCCAACGTAGAGAAAATCACTTTTTTCTGCTTGATATCGTCGGTGGTGATCGCCTTCGAAGCTGCCGGAATCGCGCCCGCGGGCTGGATCTGCTTGGCCTGATCTGCTGTGATCGCCCCTTCTTCCACCGCCTTCGCAATGGCTCGCTCCCGGGCCTTCACCTGGAGCTTCTGTCGCCCGGCCATCAGAGCAAAGTCGCCGTCGTACAGCCGCGGGACTTTTTCCGCGCCCGTCCCCACCTCGAACTGGGCGCCCTCGCGCAAGCCGCTGGTGCCCCAACTCATCGCGTCGGAGGCGGCGGCCACGTATTTCGCCGACCGCAGAACGCCCTCGGAGAAGTCCGCGACCGCCGCCGCGTTCAGTTGGGATTCTTCGTTGACTTTTGGGAGGTCCGCGACGGCAGCCGCCTCGTCTTCTTCGTGCACAGGTTCCTCAGCGCGCGTCTCGAGGTCGTACAGGTTTAGGCCGGTGAAATAGTTCGCGGACCATTTCGCCGCCTTCTCTATCTCGTGGGCCACCGGGTCGACGACGTTTTCCTTCAGAAACTTCATATCCCTCTTGTACCCCGCCCCGGCCCGGTCTGCCCAGTTCTTTCCGAAATTTTTGCGGAGTTCTATCCAGAAGTTCTTAAACGTTCCAACACCAGTAGCTGCTGTTGCATGAATTTATGACGGAAGTAGAATCGCAAAACTGAAAGGAGGGAGCTTGTAGTTGCACGTCTCGCACCACAATAAATTCGGCACAGGAAGATCCCATGATGGTTTTTTACAACTGCTGCAAGAATTTGTAGTTGTAAAATGCGAAGCCGAAGCAGCTTCTATTTGATGTTCGTCACTGTGTGGAGGCTGATTTAGTTGCGTGACAAATCATACATACAGCAAACAATGTAATTGCAAGGAACGTTTGAGAATTCCATAAGTTCCGGGTCGGACGCCACGATCACCTATCCTGTGAAAAAGCATCGTACTCGTAGTAATTGCAATTATGCATTACAAATCTCCGTCGCCGTCCCAAGGTAAAACAGCATTACAAATTCCATTTGTAATGCTAAGGTAATTTGTAATGCAATTACTAATAGTACGATACTTTTGCAATTCATATCACCGTGTCGTTCACCACGTTGGAGACAGCGCCATAGTATGGATTGTACTCAAATTATGTGTCATCTGGGTCCTCTGGAGGATGCGGTAAGCACCAGCCTGACAAGTTTTTGAGTTGCGATGTCTTGCGCAACGCGAACGCGAATGACAAACTACGTCATGCATAAGAGAAGGGCGGGCCGTGTCAATGAAGATGTCGCAATAGGCCTGACAGGCCGTAGTAGTTCTCTCCTGCCGGCCAAGCATAAGCAACCTATCTATGCACTCACCATCCAGGAGACCCGGACGAGGACATATTTTGCAAGCATGCATACCCAGGGCGTGTACCTCGCCGCAGTCATTTTCGCGTCCATGATTTTCTTCGTCGTTATCGGCGGCTTTTCCAAAAACCCCGGGGATTTCCCGAACATCCCACCCGCTGGGATACCGCCCCCTTCGATCTCCTTGTTGGTCAACAGGCGGGAGGGAAAGTTAGGCATGGACCCCTGTCCGGTGCCGGGATCGGACAGGCTGTACGAATCGAAGGGCGTCATCTTCCACCCCTCACTGTCCGCGCCCGTGCCCCTGATCCCGTCGAGACCGCTCGAAAACGGCAGCTTGATGAGCCAAATCAGCCCGTCGATCCAAAAAGCAGTGTGGAGTTCGCGCTTGTGGTGCAGGTGTAGTCCCCCGTGAGAGGATGTTGATCTACTTCGGCGTAATATCCGGACCGACTTTGACACAGTCGCGCTGGTGTTATCGAATGACGACGCGTGTTGGTGCTGGTGTTCCTCAGAATCAACTGCTGCGGGGACTGCGCAAGACGATGACGAGGCACCGGGAGCTGCGGTTAAACAGAAACTCGTTGTAGATGACACCCTCCTCCTGGAAATCTTCCTGTGCTCGGAACAAGCCCCATTTGCGACTTGTTCATCGTGGTTCATCGACGCCGTCTATCCTGTGCAAAAGTATCGCACTCGTACTAATTGCAGATATGCATGACAAATCCAACTAACTTTCTACCTGAAATAGCATGACAAATTGCATTTTTGTTCTTGGGGAAATTTGTATATGCAATTTATACTAGTACGACGCTTTTGCAGTGCATACCGTCGCCGACCCGAAGAAGGACGTTCTTGCTCGAAGGTGAAGACCGCACTGATGATCAGAGCCTCCGGAGGCGACGTGGTGTACTACTCCTGTTGTCCCCGTCGTTGCCAAAGCATCACCATAGTGCAACCCAGGCCCGGAGGAACAACTATGGAGTAGATCTGGCTGGTGTGGCGGTGCAAGATGTAGTTGAAGTTGAGCAAAGTCTGAAGACCACGAGCGTGGTGCCGTTTCCACCTGATCCAAGAAAAATCTTTGTAGCTGCATTTTGATTGTTGATATCTCAGCGGAGACAAAACAAGTTAAGTGAAACTAAATTCCAAATCGAAAAAAGTAACAGAAACGACCTAGATCAGTGGAGGGCTCATCGCAACACGGCTCTTATTTCTATTCGTCTTCAAAATTAATAGAGTTTCCTGCCGAGCGCGGAACAGGTCGTGCAAAAACTAGCGAGTGCGCAACACAATCGTGTAAAAACTAGCGAATGCGCAAGAACGAGTGGTGTACGACACTGAGGAGCAAATATCAATGGAGAGATCACTTCAACACAACAACATGCTCCGACAACGATGCAATATACATGAATACGAAAAATGCAATTTCGTACGAGAATGATGCAATCATTTCAGGGCGCAATCAAGCTTCTTCAGGCGCAATCAAATTCAAACTTCTGCCTTTACTTCCTTCTCTCGCTCGATAACTCTACTCGGTGGAGGCGGTTTGTACGATAATCGGCAACGATGGCGCGGCGCGCTGTGCACAATATTTCTGCTTAACCTAAAGACGACGCTGCTGCTACGACCACGATATTCAGTTCACGAACGACGAAATAACAGTGAAGCACATCTTCTCTGAAGATTCCTCCGCCATGAGCAGCAAAGGCAAGGGAACACCTACGGCGCGACCTCGACGCAACGGACAAAAAAACTTCTTTCTAATGCTTCGGAATGATCATTAACGCTGAGGCTCTGTCAACTAAACGCCGGAGCGTTTTCAATTTCAAACGCCACAGGAGAAACATACTCCATCACGTTTGCTCCCCTTGTTCGTGAAAATAAAACCAGTCGCAGTGCTCATCAGCTTCCAAGAATCGATGTCGATCGATGCGAGGGAACGAAGAATTTTTTTTTGCTTCGTCCTAGGATAACAAATTTCACCCAGTTTTGTTTTCCAATTTCTGCAAAATGTAGTCCCACTCCGCTTTCGCCACGCCCGAGACCGAGGGCGCCCGATTTCCCTGCACGAGCTGCATGGATTTTTTCAAAAAAGCGTCGTTTTTCAGCTCCTCGAGCGGAATTAACCGCTTCAACTTTCGCACAAACTTGACGTCGACCTGGTCCCAGGTTGGGTTGTCTTTCGAAGATTGGTTTATCCACTGCAAGAGCATGGTTGAATGAGCATATTCGATTATTATAAGCGGGCAAATCGATGATGCAAAAAGGAGCATGGATTTTTTTCTTCCACACAGAAGACGAGCTTATAGCAATGTGAATACTTCAGATTTTGGCCTAAAAACGGACCTGAAATTCAAGTTGTATTCTCACGCACATATGGGTACCTACGGAAAGCTGGAATGGCGTTACATCATGAGGATCATACAACGATACAAAAACCATACAACAGTTCTTGCTCTTGCAGTGCATACTTTTGTCGTAGTGCGGGTTGTCTTTCTCGAACTGCGTCGGGTCTGGATACCTGCATTTTTGTTCGCGAAGATACAGTAAAATACATCTTCAGCTTGATGCAGCGCTGCAGCGCTCTCGGCTCTTGCTATACTTGCCATACGTGACCACACTGACACGACGCACGGACCGACGCAAGCAGGAAAATAAATCTTCATCATCGATCTTTCCTAAACGAACCTCTTCTACAAAACATCAGCTCAGTACGCCTCTCGCACCACCTCCACAATGCCCACAATGCCGCTGGGCTTCGCGTTCGAGTGATAGAAATATCCACAGGAGAAAAAAACGCATCCACATCCATTTTTTGCATGGCAAACACATGACTCGATACTTGTTCTGCATGACAAATTAGATGGGGATGGGTTTTTTTCTGTGGATAAGAAAAAGGCCTTGTCGCCAACCTTCATACTCCGCATGATGTTCCTCGCAAGGTAGTTCCGCACGCCGTCCCAATCGCAAGTGGAATTTTTCTCCGCGATCAGGTCGTCCAGCGAGTACTTCATGTCAAAGCTCTTGCCGGTGGGGCCTGGTGTGCGGTGGATTTTTTTTCGTCATGGACATCATGGAGTAATACGTTCATGCGCTTAGCCGGCGTCATCACGTTCTTGGATGAAACGGAGCTGCGGACCAGCAAGCCCGTATTGGGGTGTGATCAACATCCGTGTCAGGATAGGCCGTCCGTGCAGTCATGCGCGGCGTAGTGGAAGAGGAAGAACCAAGATTTATTTGTAGTTCTGCGAGGCCTCACAAGGACGCGATGTGACGACAACATGCATCAAGCACACCTGTGCTGTACACCTTGACAGAACAACGTAGTATGCAATACAGCTGCGACCGGTACGCATAGAAGGCAATCAGCAGCCAGCATGGAATACGAATACCTTTCTCCATCCTGGTTAGGGGCTCGGACTTGATTAGGTAGAAGTCAGGTTTTTTCATCGGCGGTTTCTCCTCCTTTTTCTTCATGGCGGTTTTCATCGCAGCAGATGCGGGCTTCGACAATTTCATGCTGCTACTCGATATTTTCATCGCCGTCTTCATGGCACTCGAGGGCCCGGAGCCCCCCTTTTGCACCTTCTTCATGGCGGACGAAGAGGATGCTGCGCTCATATTTCTTCCCGACCAGGTACAAGAAGGTGTCTACTTTGTGCATACAACTAAAGGCGATTATAGTACCGCTTGATAACACTACACCTTATGAAGATAGCTTTGCCTTCTGCTCGTCCTCGACTATATTGCGCTCTTACAGCTAGTAGTGCTGCGTGTCTGTCAGATATCAACAGCAACCAGATTTGCTACCAATGCCTCGTTACACGCACGCAGGTACATCCTCCCGCGACGATCACTGAGATCGATATTTAGAACTGAAACGCGTGATGCCTTGTAAAGAGTAGAGACGAGGTCTCTCCGTAAACAAGTAAGTACGAGATCGATCTTTGTAAACATAAACTGCTTATTTGTTCTTTTTGATAGCAAAGTACACCTGCCGTGCTGCACATGGCAGCAAATAGGTGCTCCTGAATCTCTCACATACGCCCCCAGTCGGTGGACCACTTGATGTTTCACTCTTGGCATTGGCTACCATGTAGCGCACAGTCTGCTCAGCCTTCCAACTAGCCACCGTGTAGTAGTTGAGACAGATGAATCATGATCTCACGAAGGAATTGGAATGCTGTATCCTTGATAGAATTCGACATTTCTTTAGGGCAGCTATTACTATTAGATCCTGTAATACAACGACGATCTATTAGATCAAGTTCAGGCCTTTTTCATCCTTTGCATGATCTCACATCATGACATCGAGCCAGCGCTGTGTCAGGACGGTTATTACTGTCCGACGACAACACGACCTCCACGGACCGAATTCATGTCTTATTACAGGGATAGGGAACAACAGAAAGAGTACAAGATCTATACCACTTTGCAGCCACATGAATGCTTGCGAAACTCAACACACGTTGTCTCGCTGCAAAGCGCCGCGATGTGCTGACAGTTATCTTCTCGGTTCTTTCACTCCAAAGAAAAAGATTCAAAACGGAAAAACCTTCTTGCACACGACAGCACAGAAGCGTCTAAACGTGAAGAAGCTCTTTGCAGTGGAGGGAAAAAAGTCTACGAAAGCTTCAAGGTACGAATAATAAATACAAATACTCTTCAGACAGGAAAAGAAGTTGTGAAACAACAACAGATGTGTGACCTATGACCGCTCAAAACGTCATCAAAACCCTCACACAACAAGAAAACGCTCGTCAGCCTCACGCTATCTTTCGTGAGTTCACCAGTATGACTTCGAAAAGAAAAATCGAACGTGTAGGATTTAAATCTCGGACGTTGTTGATGTGGTGGTTCCTATTAGTAGTTTGCTCATGAGCTATCCTACTGCGACACAATTCGCCATGTCAGGGTGCCCGCGCCGCGGGTGGTAGTTTTTACACGTTGCACACCGGGCAGCACTGGCCGTTTGTCGTCGTCGGGGCCGTGATCTTCTCTTCGGACGGGCACTTTGTATGGGGGAGAACGAAACTGCCCTTGGTTCCCCTAAAATTTAGCAGCACCAACTAGTAGACTGCTCTTTATTCATTGGCGCACATGGAGTTTACATTTAGATTTTGATTTTATTTCTTTGTGCTTCGCACTACAAAGCTAGTGCTGTCACGTTGTTGATGCATGCTGGAAACATACAGAACAAAAACTCCGAATCAGGAAAAGCCTCCTGCAGAGGAAACAGAGAGCAGTTTCGATCACAAGGCGTAAAAGGTCGGGAAGCACCAGGTCCCTTTGCAAAACGTGCTCTCGCTGCCGCCAAATTCGCCCGTCGCGCCCGTGAGTTTCTGTTTTAAATTTAAGTGAAGGAATTCGTTCGTTTTTTATCTTTCATTTTACTTCTAAACGCACATCCAGGTTTAAGTAAAAGAAAACTCAAAATCCTCCCGTGCAAAAACCAAAAACAACATCGTACAGAATTTCAATGGTTTCTGGATTGCTGCAACTGAGCTTCTACAATACCCAAAATGGAAAAACACAACACAACGTCTAGACCACATAATTACGGCTTCCAGTTTGATGTCTGGATTGAAGCACACGGGGCAGCAGGTTCCCGGCTCCTGCTTCTCATCAAAACCGGTGGGGCATTTCAGCGGGGCGCACTCGATGTTCGCACACGCCGGCGGCTCCTGCTTGTTGCTCAACAAAATTCCGTTGGCGACCGGAATCAGAAACGAAAGAATTGGAAGAAACAGCCGCATCGTTACAATTTTTAGGACTTGGTGTCCTTCTCTGAGTTTCTCTTCGACCTGGTGCCCGGCCCTCTATCTCTCTTGATGTCGTCTCCACTCAAATGCAAATAGTCGTAGGAAAACCATGTCAGTGTGGAAAGGACCAGAACCAAAATGGTAGGAACGGAATGCGCTGATTTAGATGTAGATCCCGGAAATCCAAGTCAATGATCTCTTGCCAATTTTTTCAGAACACAAAAACAAAAAGATGAGAAGAGTCTTCTCATCTTCTTTTCCAAAAAGAACGAAAAATAGAAAAGATGAGTACAGTGATCAAAAGATGAGTTCGAATTGGAGTTCAAAGTCAAAAGGAAAAACACATCTCTCCTGGGACTGCAATCAAAATGAGTCAAAATTTGGGATCGGTACGGAAAGATAAAGGGATCCGGATCGAACGTACGAATAAAAAAGAAAGGCTCGGTAGATATGAAAAACACCAAACACCGAAACCAAGCGCGGGCGCGGTGAAAATACGTGGTGCCTGAAAAGTCTAAATTGAATTTATTGGACACAAAAAAATAAATCTACACGTAATCGTAATCTAAATTTTCGTCTAAATCTTATATAAAAGTTGTGGTCTCCCTGCGACAGCAAGACATTCACATTCTACAGCAGTACTTCTACTTGCTTCTAGCGACAGAACATGTCTCGTCCCATTTCAAAGTTTTCTGCCTACTTCTCCGCGGCCCGTTGCTTCTCTATCTCTCCACCACTTTCTTCCTCCTCAACCGCCGCGAATAGATCATCCGCGGTGAGTTTTTTGTCCCTTAGCGTCGCGTTTCCCTTTTCCATCTTTGCGAGCAAATCGAAGTAGTACAACCGGTCCACGAAGTCCGCCTCGTCCATTCTCCTCTTGTTGTCCTCATTGGTAAACGTGATCCGCTCGTGGCCGACCTGCACCGGATTCCGGTACTTCTCACTGAGCGGCCAAACTTTGTTTTCGTTGGGGGCCGACCGGATGTTGGGCGTGAATTTCGGGACCGAAATCATCTCCGACAAGGATTTTCGTGCGGTTTGTCGGTAGTTCTTCTTGTCATCATTTTGCTCCTCATTTTCTACTTCTTCCTCGAACTCATCCACCGACCGACTCCCCCGGTTTTTGCCTTTCTGCGTGCTACTCTCTTTCCCGGGCGCCGACCTCCCCCGACTTCTCTCCTGGTTCAGGCCGGAGCTGACCAGGCCGCGCACGCCGCCCTTCCGTTTTTTCAACTTGTCGTAGTTGGACCGCGACCACTGCAGCAGACTCTCGTCGTAGATTTCCACGAAACCAAACTCGCCCCGGTGCTCAATCTCCCGCTTGAGTTTGTTTTGCCGCTCGATGAGAATGCGCCGCTCGTTGTAGGCTTCCGCCTTCCGCGTGGACTTCGGCATGCGCTCGGGTGGCGGCTCGAATTCTTGCTCCGCGTCGTCATCGTTTTTAATCGGATTATCCTCGTCCTCCTCTTTATTAGTTGTTCCACCTCGTCCAGATTGCTGTTTGTTGCTCCTTCTAAAAGATGCCCTTCTTTTGTTTATCTGCGGTTTGAAGGTGCAGAACTCTTTCAATTCTTTCTCTTCCAACCGCTGCTTCAGCCGAATTTCGTCGGCGTCCGCCAGTCTCCGTTCCCGGTACTTCGTGCAGTTTTCCTCGTACTTCAAATCAAACGTCGCCTTGTGCTGCGACATGTCGCCGATGTGGGATTTTTTCGACTGTAGCCTTTGCTTCTCCTTCTCCTCTAATTTTTCTTTCTCCTTCTGCAACAAACTCTCTCTCCGCTCCTTGTGTTTCTTGTGCAACTCCCGCTGCTTCTCGTCCCGCTTCTTGTGCAGGGCCGCGAACCACTTTTGTCGCGTCTCGTTCGGCACTTGGTGCCAGTTGTGCGGCGCGGGGACGTTGTCGTTGGGGAACAATTCCTGGATCTCCTTGCACATTCGCATCGCAATTTCGTTGTTCTTTTTGCTCAACTCCCGGTTCTCTTCCTTCGAAGACTGGAGTTTCAGTTCCTGCATCACCATCCGGTTCCCGGCAATCACCGCGGTCCGCCGGAACGCGTCGGCGTAGAGTTTGTCAAAGTGCGACTGTGTCTGATCGAAATTGGAAGAAGTGGAAGACCCACCTGCTCCGGTAGAAGTACCAGTGTGCAAGGACTTGATGTCGGCAGTGATGAAGGAATTATTGCTAGTATTCTGTGCACTAGCAGTAGAGCCGGATCCTGCCCCGACGATGCCCTGCTTGAAATCCTGCAAAGCGCTCATCATCAAACTGTGCTCCTGTTTCTGCAAGGTGGCCGTCCTGCGGCTGAGCTCCGACCCCCGGAGGTTGGTGTTATTCGACAAAAATTCCTTCCCGGAGCTCCCCCCGGACAGCACCGCAGAAGTGAACTTGTCCGACATTCTCAACTCCAGTTCCGCCGCAGACAGGCCGGCGGATGGAAAAGCCGCCCGCTCGGCCGCGGACAGGCGAGCGGTTGTGCTCGTTTCGCCTAGCGCCGTGCTCGCCTCGATGCCGCTGCCCGAAGCGGCCACAAAGGCCTTCGTGCTACTCCCCCCGAACCCCGCCGTGCCGTAGTGGTGTCCGGGGTTCAAAAAATCGTCCGGGCCGTGCTTGATTTCGTTCTGGGCGTTTGTCTTGCCGGAACAATCCCGTTCAAGGGATCGTAGCGCCGACGCGTGGAACATGATATCGGAATTCGTCACGTCCATCTGCGAATATTTCACCCCGAACGCGTTGGTCGTGGGCATCGCGATGGTCTTGTGGATCCCGGATTTCAGAGATTTCGCCTGGCTGCTCGCCTTGGCGGACGCTTTAAACAGCTCGATTTCCTGGGACCGGGGGCCGAGATACTTTCTCGTGTTGTTCAAGAAGTGGGCTAACGTGTTGTGTTGGTTGTCCTTCGCGAGCTGGTGTAGTTTGGACAGTTGCTGGGTGAAGTCGAGGGAGCTCGTAGTCACCTTTCCGCTGTTCGTCTTCCCGCCAATCGGGTTCTCGATGAAGTAGCTGTTCCGCCCGCCAATCTTCTCCAGAATCGCGGACTTCGCCAGGTGGTCGCGGAACTTGTGGCACTTCGCGCGGAGGTCCGCGTTGAAGAAGAGGTAGGTCTTTTCCTTGTTTTGCAGAATCAACTCGAGAAAAACCTTCAACAGCGGCTGCTTTGTTACTACAGAAGTAGTCACATTGTTTTTCATTAACTGCAGGTACTTTTGCCTAGCCACCGGAAGCAAAAGATTCGTTGGGTTGGTTTCCGACGCGGCCAAATGTGCGGGGTCGTTGGAGGCGGAAGAAGTGCTTGTTGCGTTCGACAACTGTGCACCACCGACCGCTGCGGAAGAAAGCCGCTCTCCTGCTGCGTCGAAATCAAAATCATCCGGGCCGACTCCACCGCCCATGTTGCTCTGCTGCGTCTTTGTCGCCTGGTATTGATTGGTCGCCAACGTGGAATCTTCGGAAAACCGGCCGGAGAGCATCTGTGGTGGGAGGTTTTGGAAATTCGCGGGGATTATACCGGCAGACGCAGCTGCAGTATTGTCGGGCAGTAGTTCTTGTTCGCCTTGCGTCTTTTGGCTCCTCTTCTGCTCACCCTTAGTGCTGGTTGTAGGACCTCCGCTAGAGCCTGCTCCTGCGCCAGTAGCAGCAGGAGCTCCACTACTCGTCCCTCGCCCCCCACCTGCTGTGGCCGCACTTATCCCCCCGGAGGAGAATCTATCGGTGTCGAAGAAATCGAATTGGTTCGGCTGCCACGGTTTCGAGACGCAGTGGTCCAGTCTCCACACCCAGTGAAGGAGCTCCTCCTGAAGGAATAACAACCTTTCTTGGTTCTCGTGAACCTCCAACAAGTCGCGCAACAAGCAGAACCGCAGACCCAGAACGCACCGTCGCTGCGCGATCCACTTCTCGCGGTCGACAATGGACTCGAGCCGGTGCGGGTACTCGCTCTGTTTCTTCGCGTGCGCAACTTCGCGGTTGCTGGCCAGGCTGTCGCGCGCCGCGAGCGAATGATTTATTGGAGCAGCCTGAACCTGATTGTTCTCTATTGTTGGCTGTTGTTTGCTCACATCAATAGCTGAATTTGTGTACCGCGAATCACTACCGGCGAGGGCGCCGGTAGTAGTACCATCTCCAAACGTGGTCGGGTCGTCCTTCTGGGGGAGTAGTTCCGGAGAGATCATTTGCATGTTTGAGTTTGACATGACTGTCGTGGGGTTGTTGTTGTTCATCATGCCACTTACAGTCGTGCCGCGAGGGCTTGGGCTTGCAGCAGTTTCGTTGTAGAACATGAGCACGCTTCCATCGTCGTTTTTCGTGTCCTTCTTCACTTTTTTCTCCACTCCGTGTTCGATGATGACATCGGTGTTGCGGATTTTCGGCTCCTCTTCCTGTCCATCCTCTGGTGTAGTCCTCGTGGCCTCTGCAGCTGAGCTTCTTGCTGGTTGCTCATCACCGTCCTCCTTCTTCTTCTTTTTCTTCTTCTCGGCAGTGCTGCTGCGGTCCTTTGCTGCACCATCATCCTTCGCGGTCTCCTTTGGTGTGGCAGCTGCTCCCGTTTCGGCGGCGGCATTGGGATTGGCTTCCTCAGTGGAGGACGAACTAGAGGAAGAGGATTTCTCTTTTTTCTTCTTTTTCTTCTTGTCCTGACTATCGGCATCTGCTCCGGCGTCGTCTTTGTCAGAAGATTTTTTCTTCTTTTTCTTCTCCGCAACACCAGCTGCATCGTCGTCGTCTTTTGATGTTGCGCTTTTCGTACTTGTTTTCCTCTCGTCAGTTTCCTCTTTGTCGACGTCCTTCTTCTTTTTCTTCTTGATGTCAACAGCGGCACCATCACCGTCATCCTTATCAGCTGATGTTGACGATGTTGTAGCACCGTCGACGTCCTTGTCCTTCGTGTCAGCACTTTTAGAAGAAGAAGTTGTAGAAGTGCCATCCTTCTTACTTCTCTCCTCCTTCCCAGTACTCTTCGCGCCGGAACTAGGTTTTTCTTTCTCCTCGCCCTGCTTTTTGGAAGTTCCAGAAGAGGACTTCGCAACTGCGGACGCAATCTTGCCTCCAGCCGAGGCTGTGCTCGTGCGGGCCATTTTCAGGTTCGCCCCGACTTTTAAAGCCGACGTTACCCCCGCGAGATTGGAGGACGAGGCGGCGGCTTTGGCAGTTGTAGACGCACTGGTTGTTGAACTACTTGAGGACGCGGCCGCGGCACTACTAGTTCCAGCTGGTGTTGTACTAGAACTAGTGCCACTATCCGGCGCACCAGCCCCGCCGACGTCCTTTTGTCCCCTTCCCGGGATGAATTTCACGTCCTCCAGTTGCTCGCCGAATTGCGCCCGCTTCTTCGCGCCGGAGGCAGCGGTCTCGCTCAGGAGTCTGGCGGTGGCTGAATTGGCAGTCGTGCTGCTCGTCGTGGTTCCAGCCTGTTCTCTCGCTAGATTCTTCGCGTTCGTCGCGTCCATGCCCCGGAGGGGCTCGATCCCGTCCAGTAAATTCGAGCGGGGGAAAGAAAGCGGTTCGCGAGTTTTCGCAAATTCCGAAGCCAGCGACATAAAGGACAGCTTTTTAGAAGTTGTGGTCCTTTGCTGCTGGTCTTGACTGTTCATCCTGTTCCCAGCGCTGGTCAACGAGGAGGGCAACATTTTTACATCTGACGACAGCTCTTCTTGTCCTTCCTTGTCGGCGACAATCTTATTGTCAGACGCGTCTTTAATATCGCCGTCTACTTCGCCGGGACGAGTTGCAGATCGGGAGGACCGCTTCTTCTTCGTAGTACCAGCAGTGCCTTTCTCTTCAACGGCGCCATCCTCGTTCGTCGCAGTAGTTCCTGCTAAATCAATCTTTGCGCTGGCCCTTTTCGATGATCTTTTACCACCGCTGGCCTCGCCCGCCGCGGTCGACGTGAATTCATCTGGCTTGTTATCAGTTCCACCTTCTTGTTCACTCGGAAAGACGTCCACCCAGTCTGGCCTTCCCTCGATCACCGAGCTCGGGTACCGGTGCCCCTTCACGGCGACGCAGGACCCGCGAGCAAACAGCCCCCCGTTGGAAGACATGGAGGTCAATTGCTGGTCGCTGTAGTCTGCTGCTTGCTTAGTGAGAAACTGGTCCAAAATCGCCATCTGCTTCTTCACATCCACAGAATTTTGCAGAACTTGTTGCAGAATCTCCCGCATTGGGAGCACGGGGACCTGTCCGACAATTTGGTCTTCCTCTTCTTGCGGTTCTTCGGAAAGAAGTAGACCAGCTGTTTCTTGTGGCTTCTCGGTACTATTTGCATATGCTTCATCGGGAGGCTCTTGTGCGCCCCCAATTGGTGGAACAGGCAGAGTGACTGCAGGCGTGAGAAATGAGTCTTTATCCATCCTGGACGATGAAAACATGAAATCACCCCCGGCTTGTAGTTCTCCTGTCGAACTTCTGTCGTTCGACATCCCCAACAAGTTGCTGCCGACCGACATGCGACTCAGCTTCTGATGCTCCGAAACAGGCATGGCTGGTTGGGATTGTCTCTTTTGCTTCATGACGCTCTTTCTCGTCGGACCCGGAGCGACTAACTTTGTCGCATCCTGGTGCGCGTTTGGCAGATTAGGGTTGTTCATATCATCTTTCGAAGAATGCTCGTCGATTATATTTTCCAAATTTTCTGTTGTCGCCGGAGCGCTTGCCGCGTTCAGAGTACGCCTCGTGGTTGTAGTTCCAAGCTGCGCGGTATCCCGAAGCGCCGCGTCGGCTGCAGTAGCTCCATTTTCCGGGGACGCCAAATCTGGCGCTGTGGTAGCTCCGCCCTTGTTCGCGAGGAACATTGCTGCTTGCTTTTTGGACGCGACGGTGGACTTGGCCCTTCGCGTCGGCGGCGGACTCGGACTTGGGCTAGGTGACGCAGATTTCTCGGACGCCGTTTTCTCCGAATTCGTTTCAGAAGTATTCGGCTCAGGGAAATACAAAGTTGGCGACTTGCCCCTCGCCGCACCACCAGCTCTGGTATTGTTCCCCGCTTTTGGCGGCACTAGCCCGGCTTTGGCCGCGGCCTTCTTCGGCGCCGCGCCCGGCGGGCCGGCGGGGGACTTCGCTTTCTTCGGCTGCGCACCAGTTGCACCACCGCGGTCTCCTCTCCTACCCGCTGCTGTTGCAGCCCTTTGTTCACCTTGCGGCCCTTCCGCCGCGGCGCCCGCCCCAGCTGGTGGCGCGGCCCGGCGACCCTGTCCTCTCGGTCCTGCGGTCGTTGCGGTCCCAGCTGCTGATGCCCCGGAAGCTCCAGCGCCGGGAGACGGAGACGCGCCGACTGCCGCCGATCCAGCCATGCTGTCGTCCAAAGTCGTCGCCGCTCCGCCTCCGGAGAGGTTTGACCTAGTCGTGTTGGTCAAGGTTCTTTCCTCGTCTTCTATACTGAGTAAAAACGTACCCACACCAGAGTCAGGATGGGGATTTTGCAACACAAACCTAGGGGTTTTGTGAGTCACGCGTGACAAGTTGCGCTCTGCGGTGTAGTGCAGGTTAGCAAGTGCAGCCGCATCACAGATTCATCTGCTCATCCTGTTCACAGCATCACAAATTCCAAAACACGACTGGAAATGGCGCTCATGGGGATGCGCATTACCAGTCTTCCTGTCTTTGCAAATCTGCATCACAACTCTGGTATGGGGACGTTTTTACTCAGGATATCCTCAAAATCCCCGTCAAAGTTGTCGTAGCTGCCATAATTGATGTTGTCCTGTTGCTCCAACGTCTCGCGGATCTGCAGAGTCGCTTTCAGAAATTTCGGCAGAAACTGCGAGTCTTGTTGCGCCTTCGACGTCCCGACTACCTCGCGTGCTTTGTTTCCGATTTTTGTCTGCGTGCGGTCGAGGAAATTTTGCACAAAGTTCTTGAACGCGCGTGAGTTCAGCTCCTGCTTCGTCACATTGTGAAAATACGGGTGGTCCTGAGCCTGGTAGCGGGATTTCATATTCATTGCACTGGCGGTTGCAGCAGCTGTGTTATCGCCGTTGATCGAAGTAGCGGACGCAGCTTTGTTTAGCAACCCACTTGTCCCGCCTACTGCCGCATTTTGGTCCGCCGCTCCCTGTGCGGCGGCGGCGGCCTTGTCTGCTTTCGACGTCTTCGCGCCTGGAAGTAGTTTCGTCCCAGCTGCCTTGTTTTCCGCAGAGCCGCCAGAGGACTTCGCAGAGTTCGAGGACCCTATTCTTTTCGCCGGCTTTGCCTTAATTTCGGGGGCACCTTCCTCGGGACCTACAGTTCCTATTGTCGTCGTGGCTTCCCCGCCTGGAATTGCTTCGTTTCTTGCAGAAACGGCACCCGTTCCTTCCACAGCTTCCTCCGACAGAGAGATCGCGTTAATCGACAGTCCCAGTTGACTGATCGTGGTCGCCACCTTGTCGAAGTCCGGCACGTGCCGGTCAAGCGGCGTCCGCAGCCGCACGGTGCTGTGAAAAATGAACCGCTCCAAGTCTTTGGAACTCTGCTTCAAGTATTTCGCCAGGTGCATGGTCGTCTTCCGTAATTTCTTATTCAACAAACACATGGAATTCTGCACCGAATCACGCAGCTCGTACCGCAGAAAGCTGACGAACTTGAGCGCGTCCGCGAACGGCGTGTTGATCTCTTTGAACTGTTCCTTCATCCGCTGCAATTTCCAGCGGCGCAGCACCGCTTGGGCGCGCTCCTCCGGACTCACCTGCGCCTCCACCTCCTTCTGCTTCTTCAGTTCCTTCGCTTCTTCCGGATTCACGGGCGTGTCTTTCAGAAACACACTCAGGAGAATGGAAAACTCTTTCGGGTCTTTGTGCAACCCTTTTGCGTTCAATTTCATCAAGGATTGCTGGTCGAAGGCGTAGTTGCTCGGGTCTGTGGTCGTGATCGTGTCCGGCGCATTCATCGCACTGTGGTGTCCACCACCGGCGCCCTTGTGGTGGGAATGAGGGGAGTGAGCGGAAGTAGATTTAGTAGTTGCATCAGGAGCAACTGTACTGTCATTCTTGGATGAAGTTCGATTCGTTCCTGATAGCCCCAAGAACGACAGACTCCCGGGGTCCGCAGGGCTTCTTCCGGTCAGATTGAACAGCACCCGTTTCACGGCGGACCGAAGGAGGACGGGCGGCACGCCGTTGTTGTGCTTCACAAAGTCCTTGCCCGACACGTCGAACAGAATGCGCTTGCGACTGATGGCGGCTTGTTTGGTCTCCGGCACGTTGGCGAGTCTGGTGAGCAAATGCTTGAAAACTTTGAACTGCTTCTTCTTCTCGGTAGAAGTTCCACCACCAGCGGAAAACGGGTTCGCGGCCAGTTCCTTCTCCTTCTGTGCTATCTGTTTCATCCGCTGACGGGCTAGCAAGTTCCGGCATTGAGAGGAAAAATCCCCCCTCCCCATATTGAAAAGGTATGCTTCCGGAAATTTGTGTTGCTGATTTGAGGCCACAAATCACATTTGTCTTGCAAGAAGACAAGGGCAGAAGCTTCCGCCATATTATGGAGGCGATTTGTCATGCCGCTGGGCCTAAAGGGGGGCCGTTTGTCATGCTGAGCAACTAGACCCATACGCCCCCAGCTAGTCTGGGCTAGCCTGGGGATCTGGCCGCAATGCCTTTCTGCAACACAAATCTGATTTGTGTATCCAAATCCAGCATCAGACATTTCGTTTTGATATGGGGAGGGGGGATTTTTCCTTTTGATATCCGGCTCACCATCATCTTCTTGATCGCCCACCGGAACAGCCAGGGGGCTTGCGCGCGCTTCCGGATTCCGTGGCTCACCAAGTAGAACAAGTCGCGATTTTTCCGGATCAAGACCACGTAGGAGCAAGACTCGAACGGCTGACTATCCGGTAGCACCACCGCCTCCTGGTGCGTGGGCACCGCCGCCAACTGCGCTGCGAGGGTCGTTATGAACTGCAAATATGTCTGGGTCTGGAAAGATCCAAGGCTTGTCATGCTTGTCGGACATGACTCTCAAGTCTGTCATGCACATTACCCAAAAGCCCCACTTTTCTGTCATGCAGAAGCTCGCTTTGTCATGCAGAAAAGGCAAGACTGTAGCACCTGCCTCCAAAACTTGTCATGCTTCTGCCAGTCAATTGAGGCGTCCTCGTCCTTCGCAACCAGCATCACAAGTTTCCAGACCCAGACATATATGCATTTGATAGTCGTGGCGGCCGCGACGGAATCCGCATCTTGAAGCGCGCGCTTGAGCTTTTCGATTTTGTTCTGCGCGTTGATCTGCAGCATGTTATGCAATACAAATTTCCCGCACATGTACAAAATGCATCACAAATTTACCCAATTTGGAGCGTAACTACGCTTGTCATGCTAAACTAGGATCGAAGGTAGGTTTTCTCATGCACCACCAGACACCGTGTGTGTACGTGTACGGAAAATTTACTGTGGATACATGTTGGCCTGCTTCACCAGGTCTTTGGGGTCGAGCAGCAGGTAGGAATCGGCATAATTCGCATCATGCAGATCCAACTGCACCGGTTGGCTTGAAGATCCTGTTCCTGAAGACCCTTGCTGGGTGGAAGCGCCAGCTGCCCTGGATGCTGGAGACCCTGAAATAAAGATTGGTTTTTTTTTGGAGATGTAAAGGCTTGTCACGAAAGTAGGTGTTTTTGGTTCTAGTTTTCTTGAGCCTCGTCTAAGTACTACTTTTACAAAGACGTGCTGCACAGTAGCGGTGGGCACTAGTAGAGTCGGTCACAGGTGCCAAAGTAGAGGAGCCTTAGTTGTATATAATCCACGACAAAAGTTCTCGTTCATCATCTTCATTTGTGCTCCTGGTCTTCATAAATTAATACCTTTAAGTGCCCCACCGCTGGTCATGATCCCCCCAGCAGTCGCGCCTCCATTATACGCCTTCAAATCCGCTAGCGCTCTGGCATCGTAGGCGGGATCACTGACGAACACGATTTTTGTGCTCGCTAACATCTGCGGATTCTGTGCGGATAGCACTTTCCGCACGCACTCTCGCACTTCGCCGATTTTCTGGCCCGCCCGGAAAGAGAAACTCTTGCAGACAAACGCCGGCTCCAGTTTTCCCCGGTCAACGTTCATATTATTAGCCTTGTTGGCAGATGATGTTAAACCTGCAGCCTTCGTTCCGGTTTTGGAAGTCGGTGAATTGGTGGACGGCTGTCCTGTACCACCTGTCGCAGCTCCTGCTGCTGTACTTCTAGTTGCTGCTCCTTGTTCAGGACTTTCACTTGCCGCAGCACCTCCGCCTCCCGATGGCAACGCAGCAGATCCAGCCGCACTACTGGATGAAGCAGTTGTCTTCGTCACGTCTGCGTTCAATCCGTAGACCGGCAAGTGCTTGCCGCGCTGCAGTTCCGAGGATTCTTGCTTTCTGATGACTTGCAAACAGTAGTTTTCGTCCAGCACTTGAAGTTCCTTTTCCAATTTCACCAAAGTCGCCTCCAAATACTTGGAGTTCTGAAACAGCAGCTCGCAATGCGAGGCGAGCGAATGGAGCAAAACATCCATGAGAGAGTCCGTCTCGATGATGGACCGCATTTCCTGCAGAGATTTGGGCCGCCAGTCGCTCGGAGCCGTCGGAATGGACGATTTCGGAGACACGCCGAATTTCGTCTGATCAGGTGCTTGATTTGGATAATTCCTGGTGTTCTTCATCGCTAGTAGAAGATTATTTCCTCCTGCTGTCGTTCCGCTACCACGGGACGTCGCGGGCCTTGACCCTGTAGTTGTTGATGTCCCAGAAATACTCGTACCTCCACCACCGCGACCAGAGGAAGACCCTTTGTTCGGCCGGGTTGACCTGCTGTTGGCGTTATTTGTTCCGCCTCTAGAAGCTCCTGTAGTACTCGAATTCAAATTTATTCCCGTCGTTTTCACCCCATCAGCACCGTCCTCCCCCTCGCCACCAACACTGCTGAACCCGGTCTGAAAGAAGGCCAAATCTTCCGGACAGTCCTTCTGTAGTAAGTACCCGTCCTTGAAGCACTGCAGGAACAAAATCTGCTCCAGCTCACTTGTCAGCTGCTTCCGCGCAACCGCGTCGCCGTGGGTCTCCTTATTGATACCGCTGCTGGACTTGTTATTCGGAGTTGACGACGAAGATGTTGACGCGTTTCCACTAGTACTGCTGTTATTTTTGTACGCGGAGCTCCGCAGCAGTTGCTGGTCCTCGTTTGCGTCCACGCAGTACCGCACCGCGAAGTAAAAATTGTTCAGATTGTTTATCGAAAAGAAAAATCCCCCCTCCCCATATCAAAACGGAATTTCTGATGCTGGATTTGTGTACACAAATCGGCTTTGTATTGCAGAGAGGCATTGCGGCCAGCTCCCCAGGCTAGGCAGGGGCGTATGGGTGTAGTTGCTCAGCATGGCAAACGGCTCCCCTTTAAGCCCGCCAGCGTGGCAAATCGCTTCCATAAAAATGGGGCGGAAGCTTCTGCCCTTGTCTTCCTGCAAGACAAATGTGATTTGTGACCTCAAACCAGCAACGCAAATGTTCAAAAACATACCTTTTCAATATGGGGAGGGGGGATTTTTCCGTACGATATTGTTCACAAACTCCTTCATGTTCGCAAACGTGATTCTGGTCTGGTGCAGAGAACTGATCAGGTGGTCGTTCCTCGTGCGAAACAGCTGCCCGAAATCAGATAAGTACTTCGCCGCCGGCCGGGACTTGTCCGTGGACTGAGCTACCACGACCTGTGGGCCTTGTTTGTCTGCGCTCATTGCCGCGTAAAGGGATTCAAATGTTTGCGTGAATTCGAATTCGTAGCCCGCGTTGGGAGTGCTCATCACTTTATTTCCTACTCCCGGGTTTTCGCCCAGTTGTTGCTGTTGCTGTGCATTATTTCCATTGTTCGTTGCGGCGAACAAATATGACAGCAAGTCGTTCATTTTCAAGTGGAAATTGAAGTCCGGCGAAACGCTGGACAACATGCTCGTCCCCCGAAAAAAATCTGCGGACACGGGTATGGCGCTCTCAAGTTTTACATTCTCAACTGTTACATGAATTTGTAATGCAAGACTGGCAAAAGTGAAAGGAGGAAGATTGCGCCTTTTGCATTACAAGTTTGGCGCAGATTTCGATGCTGTCTAGCCCTTCCGAAATTTGTCATGCGAAGCAGCTCGATCATCTGCCGGCTCAAGGTACTTTTGCATGACAAATTCATGTAACAGTTGAGAATGTAACGTTTGAGACCGACATAACGGGCGTCAAAAAAGTGGGGACTGCGGTCTTGTTCGCGAACAGTTCGCGGAGCTGCTGCTCTCTTTCCCTGTCGAAGATACTATTCACCGCAGTTTGTGCTTGTTGATGTTGGGCTTGTTGGGTCGTGGGAACTACAAGTTGTTGCTGCGGCTGTTGATTTGGTTGTGCGGTTGTATTCATTTGTTGATGAACAACTCCACCTGCGTGTTGTGGATGTTGGTGTAGTTGATGTGTCGTCGTAGTTGTACTACCACCAGAAGATCCACTCGTCCCGCCAAACATCTCCAGACTCAAATCGGCTCTCAGCCTCATGATTTCAGCAAGAGCCTCCTCCTGCGTCTTCCGTAGCTCCACTGCAGGAAGGTGCGGCTTCTGCAGCACCGCCTGCTGGCCGCCACTCTGCTGCAGGAGCCCCGAACCTGAAGAACCTAGTGCAGGAGTCAATTGCTTTTTCATTCCGTAAAGGTTCAGACTCTGTAGCGGGTTCTGGTGCGCGTGGTCTTTTGCGTGGTATTTGATATTTACCATGTCTCTCGCGCCAGACTTCGAGTAGCTGTTGTGCTGCTTTGCTGCACCAGCAGCACCGGTCGCGCTGATTCGTCCTGATGGATCAGTCGCGTCGATAAAACCACCGCTAGTTGAATCATTGTTCTCTGGTGCGGCGACGATGAATCCCTGTAGTCTCCTCGTTTCTCGTGCGGCGAAAAACCTCCGTGCGTGTCTTGTCGCGTAAATGGAGAGCATGTCGTCCTCCGTGTGGCTGTTGAACGAACTGCGCCCGGAAACGTCAATTCTCCCCCGCTGCGGCCCTTGCTGCGAAGACTGCAGAAACGACTGCACTTGCCCCCCGGGAAGGGTCCCCGAGTACAGATTTTCGTCGCCGATATTAGAAGTGGCGGACCCAGCCTGGTCGTTCGAAAATTGGGCATTCGCCGAGCTTAAAGTTTTCTGCTTGTACAACATGAGTGCCTTCATCGCCTTGTCGTATTGGCATGGAGTCGGGCCATAAGGATCGTTGCAGAGATATTCCGCCAGGTCATTTTTGTGCAGAAAAGCGAGGCGGGAAGAGGCCAGGAAGAGCTTCTTGTAGTTATTCTGGGATGATGAAGGTGAGTTATTGTCATTCAGGAGCTGTTCCAGCTGTTGACTCGTCCCGCTGGAATTGCTATTGGATGTGTTTGATGTCGTGCTGTTGGTCGCCACACTCAGCTTCGACGCGGATTGAGTAACCCGGTTGGGAGCTGCAATTCCACTATCATCTGTCTTGAGAACTCCGCCCGTACTAGTTCTACCATTATTCATCCCGCCCCCGACAGTTGTGTTTCTTGTTGAAGAGAGCCTGAGTTGTCCTCTATTCTTATCACCTACAACGTGTCTTCCGTAAAACGGGTCGTACTTGCTGAGGAACTTGTCCGCCAGAAAAAATCTCGCTTGCTCCGCTAATAATTCCAAAAGCTGTTGGTGGTCCTGGGGGTTGACGCTGACGTTGGTCGTGGTATCCCCACTGTCCGACAGGGCGAGGGCGGCTACGGCAGAAGCGGTAATAGAACTACCTCCTCCTGACATGCCTCCTACTCCACCAGCTGTTGAACTACCACCGCCCGCCCGGTTTCGTGCCAACAGCGACGTCGTCATCGTGCTCTTGTTCATCAGATTCATCAGCCCCGCTGGGAGAAGATCTTTCTCCGGTAATAATTGCAACAAATTGGTCGCACTCTGCAGCTTCTCCCTCGCACCGGCAGCCAGCCCCGGATTGTTCAACAGATTCCGGCTGTTCCAGGGAAGAGCGAGGAGTAACTGCTGTTGGGTGGACGAGAATTTCAGCTGGTTCAGCAGGGAAACGCCGACGATCGCATCGCCCGAAACGATCGCGGTGTTGGTGCCCAGTTGCGGGACAGAGTTACTTGTCATGCTGGTGCCTGGTGTTGTACTAGAAGTTGTACTAGCTGACGGTAAATTTGTTCCGGCTCCTGTTGCTGCAGCCGAAGACGGGAGGACATTGGGGGCGTTGGCAGCGGCGGAGTAGCCGGCTAGTCTCGAGGTTGTATTGGCGGCACTCGTGGTCGACAAATTTTCTGTCGCGCGGTTCCCCGTCGTTCCTGTCGCTTCCCCCGGCGATGCACTCTGCGCGGCTTCGTTTTCATTACTCCCTGCGTTGCTGCTGGTTCCACCTCGCACACTAGCGGAAGTACTGCTTGGGTCGGCTTGGCTTCGCGCGCGGCCGCTGGCCGCGGCTTTAGTTCCGCCGGAAGTGCTTCTTGGGTTGTCCGACATCTTTGGAAGTGGTTCTGCTTATGCGCTAGCAAGGACTTCAGCGGGCGAGGCCTTTCGCTTCTCCACCGGATTAATTTGGAAATCGAAATAGTTCGTGGTCGCGCTATCGTTTTTCCTGAAGGTCATCTCGTAGTCCTTGGCTGGAAATCGCATCGAGATCGCCCCGTCGCCGGATCATGCACAGTCCTCCCGGTCGTGGCGCTGGTATTTGCTTTCTGACAATTATACTGCTTCTACTGACAGACAGCCGGGCAGTTCTACGCGATACACAGTCGCAAGTGAGAATTTGTTGGCGTTGCAATTTCACATGATAGACGAATGCATGAGATTTATTTGTTTTTCTTGCGGGGCATACAATGTAAAAGAGCAATACGTGGTATACAAGAGGGGTATCAGCATAGTGTAACTGTAAACGTGTGTCAAATCAAAACTTAGCAAATATTGTCCGAGGAAAAGAATAAGAAACTCGGCTAGCACAGGCATACCGACAAATAAATGGACGATGCTCGCACGAAGGACAAGTAAAATCACAGTGGACGTTTATTTTTATTTCGTTCTGGAAATGCAGTTGTACGATGAAGATCATGCTATCGAAAGGGACGACAAAAAGAAAAACGAGAATCAGGCCACGGAAAATAGAACGACCGACGAACGTAGTTTGCGCTTCTCGGAAGTAGATGGCGAAGGGACAATACCGATGCTTTCATGTTGGTTCCCGAGAAAACCGAAGTAGATGAGCTGCTGTTTATGAGCGACGCACATACGATGAAATACCAATACCAATACGGTGCGATGAACGGATGCACTTTCACAAGCGAAAAATGAGGAAGTTTACGGCAACGAGATTTGACCGAATTTTTTCGAGGAATTCTTGCGTAGTGTGATTCAGAAGTTGTAGATACAGGCATTGAAACATTTACCGACCTTTCAAGCTCAAGCATAAGCAGTCTGTCACCTGCTGCAACTAAACACTTTATCACTGAAGAACAAAAAAACTGATCTGCTTGCACGAAGACAACTAACGGTCTATGTGTTCGTGCTGCGTCAGGATATTGGGTTCTTCTTTTTTCTCTATACAGCAACCAGCTAGTACGACTGGTTCTTTCAAATGTTGAACCATTTCTACTACTACTACACAGAATTTTTACTTCCCGTTCTACTGTTATTTTTACTCCCATTTATATTGTCCTTTTCCTCTTGTCCTTTCCCAACAATTTGCAAGAATTGGCTCGTGCTTTTCTCATCGCCTAATTTTAAAGCGGGTTTGTCCCGCGGGTACATTAACAAATATGCAAAGCTTAGTAGGCACCAGCATAGCAACATAATCACAAACACGTCGTTTTCGAAAAACGCGCGGTAGAACTTCAAGTACCGAATCTGTGCATTGAAAACCACGTCTGCCGTTGTCGCGCGCGCGTAGTCCCGGAACGCCAGCTGCGCAAACTGGACGATGGCGCAAGACGTGAAATTCACCAGAATCGCGTTGAACAGCAGGCTGTTGAGTGGCGTGTGGCCCTTCTTCATGGGGTGGATGGAAAACAGACAGAACGCTCGCATCCCCACCTTCAGACAGCCGGTGACGGTCGCGAACACCAGGTGCATGTTGAGAATGGCGAAAAACACCGCGGCTAGCACGAAGAGTCCGCTGGACTCGAAGGCCTGCAAGAACTCGTTCAGCATGAGGGAGACCGGCTCCTCGTTCTCCTCGCCCGGCTGGTCGATGAGGAGGTAGAAGAAGATGTGCAGCACCCAGAAAAAGGAGATGATCGCGAAAATGACCCCGAAAAAGACCTTGAGCCCGCTGGTGACCGGGTTTTCGCCCCGCTGCTTCATGCAGATCTCCATGTGGTCGTACTCCTTTTCGAGCAAAAAGCACGATATGGGACTCTTAAACGTTACATTCTCAACTGTTCCATTAATTTGTCACGCAAAAGCACCTTAAGCCGGCAGATGATCAAGCTGCTTCGCACGACAAATTTCGGAAGGGCTAAACCTGCGGCAAACTTGTAATGCAAAGGGCGCAATCTTCCGCCTTTCACTTTTGCCAGTCTTTGTCTTGCATTACAAATTCATGTAACAGTTGAGAATGTAACATTTGAGAACTCCATACACGACTGCTTGAACTTGTTGAACTCGGTTTTCAGCTCCCGTTTTCGCTTGTTCACGTTGGAAAAGTACCCCCCGGTGGCGTCCTTCAGTTCCGTTTCCCGGTCCTGCAGTTCCTGTGCCTTCGCGAGAAGCGACTCCGCGGTTTGCGCGTACAAGATCTTCCGGCTCGCGTACTGACTCGCGGTGATGGGTTTCGGCCGGTCTTGGTATTCGATCAGCAGGTCCATGGGCAGCGCCGTCAAGCCCACGCCGCCAAATACGACGAACAACCACCAGCCGAGGAAGCAGAAGACCGCCATCAGGTAGATGTCGAATCTGACATTGATCTCCAAGAATTTCTCCGCGGAGATTGCGCACACGTGGCCCGACCGAATTTGCTCGCTCGCACTGATCCAGTTGCCGCACGGGTAGTCCTGCACGGGGAGCTTGGCGACGGCCAGGAAGGCGAAGCTAATCAAGAGAAACATGAAGACGATGAAGAAAAAGAACGGCTTATCCTGTGAAAAAGTTCAAACGATATCGCACTCGTAGTTGTGATTTGTTTCAATGCATAATTATTTCCCAGGTAACTCAGCATTGCATTACCTTCGTTCTCCTTTGGAAAAAAAAATTCTTTCAATGCAAATCCACTTTCTGTTTCTACTACGTAGGGCGACATTGCTTTATTTGCGGTGCATACAGCATGTTCACGAGCAATTTCCTTCCCGGGCTGGAGTTGCGAAATTGGGCGAGTCGGCTGGTCGTGTTCGCATTGCTGGTCGCCGCAGCTCCTCCTCCTGCGCTACTGCTACTGCTGTTGCCGAAAACGATCTTCCAGTCGCCGTTGATCTCGAGCTATCAAAAAGAAAAATCCCCCCTCCCCATATCGAAAACGAAATTTGTGATGCAGTATTTGAGTACACAAATCGCATTTGTCTTGCTGGAGAGGACTGCAGACCCATACCAAGCCTGAATGGAGAGGCTTTGACTTAGGCGCTTAGCATGAAAAGCGTCCGCGATGTTGGCTCAACAGCATGACAAACCGGCTCCATAATGGGACGGAAGCTGTTGCCCTTGTCTTCTTGCAACACGCACGTGATTTGTGACCTCAAATCAGCAACACAAATTTTCGAAAGCCTACCTCTTCAATATGGGGAGGGGGGATTTTTCCTTGCGATACGAGCCAGAAGATGCCCATGGGAAGCACGAGCAGGATTTATTACAGTGAAAAGTGCCCCCCACCCCCAAAGTTGCAAAAATTTGTGATGCGAAGTTTCCAAATGAAACCTTTTTGTCATGCATGAAAGGAATAGGAATCTTTCTGATGCAGATTCTAGTGTTGTTTCGCATCGCTTGCATGACAAGCACCGCTCTTGCTGGGATCTTTTGCAATACAAATTTTTGCTCTTCACGATCGGAAATCTGTGATGCTGATACATGCAAGACGGCGATTGTTTCATTTTGAAAGGTTTGCAATACAAATGCTCCCAAATTCGGGGGTGGGGGCATTTTTCATTGTAATAGGATTAGTAGGATCACAGAAATGAACGCGATCAGCCAAAACGCCTCCATGTTCAAGCCGCCATTATTCCGCGCGTTCCGCACGTCAATGGGCAGGAGAAAAATCACGATATACGCAATGGTGAAGCTGGCGATGACCACGAAGCGCAGCCCAATGTGGTCCTTGGAAGCTTCGTCCGAGTCTCTGTATTCCGTGCAAAAGTATCTCGCTTCATCTAGTATAACGGAGTGCTTTTATGCATGACATTGACATCAAATCAGTTTACGTCTAGTAAGTTTGCAAGGCTGAATTTTCATGACCAGTTCCATTTGTTTCCTTTTGAAAAGAGTACTGTACGAAATAGTACGATACTTTTGCAATGCATACTTCGTAGTAGAAGACCATTTTCGCGTTGATCACGAAAAAGGAGAAAATCCCCGCGATCGCGAAAAAAAGAAGGAAAAGGTCGATCATGGTTTCGTCTCTGCACGTTAGATTTTCAGCAGAAATGCATTGTCAGCAGGTGTTCTACTGAGGAGCTCCTGATGATCCTCAAAGTGGTCATTTTTCACTACTTACATTTTGTAGCGACCGCTCCGAACAAGAAGTAGCACTACGAATATTTTCACCAGAAACACTATATTAAAGGAGAGATTGCCTCACTGTTGTGAGTTGTTGTTTTGTTCGTCCTCATGATTCATCGATCCCAACCCGAAGTCACGCTGGGTGTTTTTTTTCTTTTTTGCAACAGATATCGAACTCAAAACAAGAACGGATGGAAATGCATCTTCCGACAACATTAAAGAAAGATCTGAACCACCAAAAAGACCAAACAACAAAAAGAAAATTTCAACACAGAAGTCTATCACAAATTAGCGCCTTTTTCTTTTTTGCAGAGCATTTCAAAGTCGGGATCAGCAAGGTTCGATGAACACGCGGGGAGCTGCACGACAGGTTGCCTCTAGTACACACGAGCAGAAATTTAAAACACTGAAAAACTGCGACTGCCGTCCCCATGGTCGCGCGGACATTGGCATTGCGTGGACAACACCTAGAGACACGGCGGGCGCCACGTCGCTAGCATTCTTTTTTGTGATGTACAGGGACGATTGGGAAGATGTTGTTCGGCAGAGTCAGATTTTGACGAAAACTCGTCATTTGGCAAGTCAGCTGAATACAAACAAACTATCCATTTGATGCTCTACTTGTCCATCTATCATAAGTAACGCTGCGCGATGGTAATATTGCGTATCAAATATGATCCCCGGGGTCGCTAAAAGTTCGCTTATTATAATCGTGTGATACACAATTCAATATTTGGGTAGGTAGTGTATCACACTGGCCACCTCGAGCTAGAGTTATAGCGGGAAAAGACAAATCTTCCTTTTTTTGTGTTTTTTCAGTTTCCAAAATAATTCAAATTTGTACAAAACAAATATGTACAGGATTAGAAATCAAGAATCCGCTTGAACCAATACTGGAAGCGAAGTTGTTCCAGATAGCTGCAGCCGGTCACGTGAGTCATCTTCTAGAACAAGCACCGCTGTCGTGCTCGTGGTCGTGCCTCACCCTTTACGAAAATAAAGGTACAATTATCAGAGCTGCATTTTTTACATTTTCATTTTGTTCATGATCGCAAAAAATCTTCTTTCAAAAAATATGGTAGTAAGTTTTGATGTCCATTGTCGTAAAAAACCTCGCTATTAAATATCATTTTTCGCGGCTGCTGCTCGACGCGGCCTAAATGTCAGCAGCTGCAAAATCGTAATCAAGTATATCAGTTCATATAAATTCATCTGTTGTACTAGTAGAAGTCGTGAGTCGACGATGCAACCAAATAGTTTACTTCCCACTTCTAGAAGAACGTAGTCGTTCAAATCTACAAAGATCATTTCGATCTGCAGCATCCCCTGCGGCTCCCGCGTCGACAACGGGGCCACAGAGACTGCTGCGGTACGTCTTGTTGATGCAACAAACATACAATTTTTGCAAGATGAATCAAAATCAATACATTGAAGGCGACTACTTCTGCTGCACTCCCGACCACGACCAGCAGTCGGAGCGGTCGTCATACATAAGGCGCTCGCACTACTAAGAAAAGCTGAAAAAACTCTACAGGTTTTTTTTCTGATGTGTACATAAAAAATCTCCACAGCGCGTGATTATTTTCTTTTGCACCGACCTCCTTGTCGGTCGTGCAGCATCAACCAACTGCCGGCAGGCTCTGAAAGCAGAACATTGCTCCATAAAGCGTTGACCCGCCTGTCTCGTGTTGTATGGACGACAAGTAGAAACAAGTAGAAGACTACTTTACGTATCAGAAAGAAACTAGGTGTAGGTGAGTTGTATCCAATCACTCCGTCCTTAGCCTCTTCGCGACCTGCTGGTCGGGTTCTACTGCATTGCGGTCAAGCATCAGATCCTCGTCCTCATCAGGGATAGGAATGTCGTTCGGATCCTTCTTGTCGTCATTTTTGTCCACAGCAGCTGCACCAGCAGGTGCGAGAGGAGACCGCTCATCAACCTTCATATTCTTGCCACTTGTTTCATTCGCATTCCTTCCAGGTGAAGCAACAGCAGTTGCACTGCTACCACTTCCGAGGGCCGTCGCGGGGGCGGCACCGACAGCAGCTGCACTGCCAGAAGCGGTACCAGGCCCGGAAGTTGATGTAGTACCTCCACCGTTTGGTGAGGAAAGTAGAAGAGAGCCTTTTTTAGGCGCGTTGTCCTTGTCCCCCGTCGCGGTTGGTCCTGTCGGCGGTGAAGGGAAGCTTGGCTTTTTTTCAACAACAACAGCATCGTCTTCCTTATCCGAGTCGAGGTCGCTGTCGTACTCGTCAAAAATGTTCTTCTCCGGTTTTTTTGTCGCGGTGTCAATCTCTTGATAGTCTTTCAACACCGGACTACTCGAAGACGATTTACTTCCTCGCGAAGTCGTGCTAGTCGCGCCACCCGCTCCAGTGGAGGTTTTCACGACCGTAATGCTGATACCATTGTCGACGAAAGTAGGAGAGCCTGTCTTATTTGTGCCTTGTACCTGGCCACCAGCAGCACCTGTGTTACCACCCACAAATTCACCTCGCGGGATCAAAGAAGACAGTGCCGGGCTAGCAGTGGTCGCAGCATTGCTGGAAGAATGTTTCTGCAGTGCAACTACCGGTGGTCCGGTGGGGCCGATGTTGACATAATTACTAGCAGTTGCTGTAGTCGTCGTTCTACTTCGTGGGGAAGCCAGAGCTGTGGATATCAAAGACGATGGCGCGGGGGCCCCCGCGACCAGTGGTCCGCCACCTCCCATAGCACTGCTCTTCAGCACGTTGGCACCGGCGATATTTGCGACCATAGCCGCAATTGAGGAAGCGCCGGCGGAAGGAGAAGACACTGAGCTTGGTCCTCCAGCACCTGGAGCAAGCGAAGGGCCAACAATCGGGTCGTTGCCCGCAGTATTTGCTGATCCGTTATTTTCGAGGAGTGCGGCAGCAACACGACCTCCTGCAGCCCCAGCACCGGTTGTTGGCGCAGCACCACCCGCCCCGAAGAGAGCAGTAGAACTGGAGTTAGTCGACGGAGAGAAAAAACTGCCGCTTTGTTGACTCTGTTCTTTCTGAGCCAATTCTTGCTTGCGCTTTTCCTATCCTGAGTAAAAACGTACCCACACCAGAGTCAGCATGGGGATTTTGCAACACAAACCTAGCCGTTTTGTGAGTCACGGATGACAAGTTGCACTCTGTAGTGTAGTGCAGGTTACCAAGTGCAGCGGCGTCACAAATCCAGCTGCTCATCCTGTTCACAGCATCACAAATTCCAAAACACGACTGGAAATGGCTCTCATGGGGATGCGCATTACAAGTCTTCCTGTCTTTGCAAATCTGCATTACAACTCTGGTGTGGGTACGTTTTTACTCAGGATATTTCCACCGAGTGCTTCATTTCCTCCAACCACCGCGGACTTGTAGATATCGTAGAGAAAAATCCCCCCTCCCCATATTGAAAGCGTATCCGTCTGAAAATTTGTGATGCGCATTTGTGACCTCAAATCCTGTCTGTCTTGCAAGAAGGCAAGTTCAGAGAGCGCCCTGCATTTTGCAGGCGGTTTGTGATGCTGTTGGGCTTAGAGCATTCACGTTTGTCATGCTAGGCGCCTATGTCAAAACCTCTCGCCTGAGGCTTGACATATGCCTGCAGTCCTCTACTGCAAGACAAATCTGATCTGTGTGCGGAAATCCAGCATCAGAGACTTCGGCCCGATATGGGGAGGGGGGATTTTTCCTTTCAATAGTAGAGCTCGAGCTGCCAGAGGAAGAACTTGCTCCTGCTCCACTACTTGGAACAAGTAGGTTCAAGTTCGAAACAGCCGGCACCGTTATCACCGGTGGTGCCGCTCCGCCCACATCGGCTGCGTTCGCGTCAGAAGATTGTTTCTGTAGCTGATGCTGTTCCCTTTCCCCGGCCTCTATGGCTGCGTCAACCTTCTGCAGCAAAAGGGACTTGTGGTCCCGCCCACTAGAAGAGGTGGATGCAGAGCTATTGACAACTGTCGGAGCAGCAATGGTCACGCCCGGCTGCTGCAGCGAAGCGCTGGTGCTGGAGGAAGGAAAAACTCCTCCGCTGCTACTCGATGAGGTGGATGATGTGTACCCAAACTTAGCTTTGAGGAAATCCACAGGCTGATTCAGATTCTCGCTCGCTGAAGACGAGCTGCCCGTTGTCCCGGCCGAATTGGTTCTGTGGTGCGACAGCTCCCGCTTTTTCGCACTCTGGTCCTCTATGGCGTCCTCAAATGTTACATTCTCAACTGTTACATGATTTGCCATGCAAAATCAGCATCAACGTCCACACGGTGAAGCTACTTCGCATGACAAATTTTGGAAAGGCTAAACAGCATCGGAATCTGTGCCGATTTTGTAATGCAAGAGTTGCAAGATTCGGTCTTTCCCTATTGCCATTCTTGCATCACAAATTCATGTAACAGTTGAGAATGTAACGATTGAGAATCCCATATCCTCCTCTTCAGCATTGTAGTAGCCTTGCTCGGACAAATATCCAGGAAAAAACATCCATCCCCATCCAATTTGTCATGCATACATGCATAAAATCTACTATTTGTCATGCAAAAAATGGATGGGGATGGGTGTTTTTTCCTGGATAACAAAACGTGCGCAGTGCGCTTTCGGCTCTGCAGGTTGGAGGGAGCAGTGTCGGGCTGTTTTGTGTATAATGTTTTTTTTTTCACCGTTCAAATCTAGCATTGGTCGTAGAACTTCCACTTCGTGAACAGTAACTAGAAATACATAGATCAAAATTTGCATGCTGGGAAATCGAAGCCACAAAGAGTATCATGTGCATGTGAGCTTGAGCCTTTAGAGGTACCTTATTCTGCACAACTCCTCGTCCGGACGTAGCGCCGCCACTGTCCGTAGTTCCCTCGATGAGCTTGTGCAGTTCCTCGTCCGTCTTGTCAAAGGTGGAAGAAATGTTGATTTTCATCGAGTTTCCAGCCAGATTCCTCCCGCCACTCGATGCTGCGGCCCCGAAGGCGTTCCCGCGCCGGAAGGGCATAGAAGTAGAACTACTAGTACCTCCAGAAGTTCTTGTAGACGTTTCGCGGTTCATCTGCAGGAAGGCACTGGCCGGCTTTTCCTCGTAATCGGGGAGAAAGTCGTCGTCCAAAATACTTGCGGTTTTGCTCTTGACCAACCCCGAAGCCAGGAACAGATCCTGTATCGAATTGGAAGAAGAGGAGGACGATGCCGTCGAGGTCGTCGTAGGAGTACTATTTTCTGCTCGATTCGGCGGGCCGAAGGGGCCGAAAACAGGTCCGGTCGGAGGTGGTGCGCCAGCAGCTGCTGCCCGGCTACCCGAAGTATAATTAGTCGCCCCTCGTCCGCGACTGCTGATCATGTTGTCCTCCTCATCATCGTGATTTTGCATGTTGACCACCGGGGGTAGTTTCAGAGCCTCTCGCGACTTGCGTTTCTTCTGCTTCTGGGACTTGTTCACGGACCGATTGATGTTGGACGAAGAGGAGGAACTAGAGGTGCCAGCACTTGCAGTGTTGTTACTGGACAGAAATGCACCCGCAGTTCCCGGCTGCGGGTGGGGGCCCAACAAAGGTCCCGCGGCGCCGCGGCCGGCATGCGGCGGGCTGTCGTCGCTGGATGACAAGGAGTCGGAACTGGAGGAGTTATGGCGTTCTCAACTGTTACATCCTCAACTGTTACATGGATTTGTGATGCAAAAAGTGCAACAGTGAAATAGGAGACCTTGCGCTTCTTGCATGACAGATTTGGCAAAGATTCTCAGCCTGTTGGGCTCGTCGGGAATTTGTCATGCGAAGCAGCTTGATTGCGTCGATTCTGATTGCAATTTTGCATGACAAATCATGTAACAGTTGAGAATGTAACATTTGAGAACGCCATAGGAGTCGCTGTCACTGTCTGAATTCTCGAACCAACTGTCGTCGACGACATAGTTGGAATCTTGCCTGTGAGAATTCGTGTTGGTGGAGGAATTTATTTAAGTATTTGCGTGGCATACGCATATCTTTTAGTTTTACCCCACGTGAAAAATGCGCTATATGACAGAGAGCGGAGGTACTGTTTCTAGCAGCTTGTTCGAATTGGAATTCTTATTCTTCTTGTAACTTCTGAACATGCGGACTAGTTCTCCTCGCGGTATAACTTAGTGCGATTGATGTTTTTTGTTTTTCAGCAATGTCGATGATGCGCGAACGTTGATACAACCTGGTATAATCAACTATCAATGATGCCGAGCAATGCAACCCGTGCGGACATTGATCTAAGTAAACTCATAAGTACCTTCTCCTCGGTCCCGCCCCGCCGCTCCCGCTGGAGCTGCTTCGTCCCGGCGGCCCTATCGGCGACAAATCGTCGTCCTCCGAAGCGCGCCGCCTTCTGTCCAATTGCTCCAGATCCACCTCCAGTTCGTGGTCTAACGCCTGTTCGTCCGCCCGCGCGAGCGCGTTGGGATCCAGCAAGAGACCACCCCCGCCCTTGTTCCCGAACGAGCCCCGCAGCGTCGCGTTTCTCAAGTCCTCCTCCAAAAACTGCTTCCGCTGCCGCTCCGATTCCAATTCCTGCACCTTCCGCTCTTCTATCCAGGAGAAAACACCCATCCCCATCCAATTTGTCATGCAAAACATGCATAGAGTCCACTATTTGTCATGCAAAAAATGGATGGGGATGGGTGTTTTTTTCTGGATATCTTCCGCCTTGATGATCGCTTTGTAACTGACGAAAACTTTCGACAAGACCTGCACCTCGCGGAAGTCCTTTTTTCTCCCCGGAATGTTGGGGCCCCCGCCCCCGTCTTTCGGGGGAGGGGGCTGGGGCCCGATACCGGAGAAGATGTTGCCATTCTGGTTTTGGTATCAAATGCAAAAGTGTCTGGGTCTGGAAGGATGCAAGGTTTGTCGTGCACATTTTGCATGACTTCTGATGTCTGTGATGCATTCCCTAGCATCACAGATTTTGTGAGGGCTTCCTGATGCCTGTACCGCATGAGAAATGCCCTCTCGGCGTGGCAAAAACTGGACCTCTTTTGCTTTTCATGCAATACAGACTTTTGTAGAATCCAGACGCAGCATCACAAGTTGCATGCTTCCAGACCCAGACATTTTTACATTTGATATTTGGTTATTCGTCACTGCAAACCGCTCCGCGTCCGAGTTCCGGTTGCACCAGGGCTCGATGAAAACCTCGTTCTCGAAGTTATGGCGTTCTCAGCTGTTACACTCTCGTCTGTTACATGGATTTGTCATGCAAGAACGCCAAAAGTGAAAGGGGGAAGATTGCGCCTTTTGCATGACAGACTTGGCACAGATTCTCATCCTGTTTGTCCCTTCGGGAATTTGTCATGCGAGGGAGCTTGATTCATCATCATGTAGTGGACACCCGCTCCCAGCGCCACAGGTCAAGGATCCCCTCCCCGGGGGGTGGGCGAGGATTCATATCGACTCTGATTGGAATTTTGCATGACAAATCATGTAGCAGTTGAGAATGTAACGTTTGAGAGCCCCATAGAAGTGCTCAAACAGAAACTTGATCAGTTGCCGCATCAACTGGAACTGCTGCGACCCCTGCGCGATGGCCTGCAACAGGGCCAAAATCGAGGAGAGCAGCGAGTTGCCCGCGTACCGCTTGGCGGCCTGTTGGCTCGCGGATTGTTGGTAAGCTGTAGAACCAGGGGGTGGAGAGGACGGGGAATTCATCATGTCCAGACCCGTTCTTGGGGAAGACAAGGACGCTGACGCAGCACCACGATTATTAAAACCTCTGGCACCTCCACCTGCGCCTGAGTAGCTACTCAGTTGCTGCACCACGGGCTTGGCCATCTCTTCCAGCTGGTCCTTCAGAATCTTCATCACGGGCTTCCACAAGATGTCCGGCGACTTCATCAGCAGCCGGCCCAGCTGTTCCTGGTTCCGCATGATCACGGTGCGGATGAATTTGATGATCGCGATGTGCAGAAACTTGCACGGAATGGCGAACAGTTTGCTCACTTTCTGGCAACACTCCAGGTTGGCAATGAAAATGATCACCTGCACTTGCTCCTGCTTCTTATTCGGATTCGGGTTGGTCGTCACGGATTTTTGCAGCCCGGCGCACAGGATATCCAAAATGCACTGCCGGGCAAAGTTACGGGCGTCCTCTGTCGTTGTATATATATGGAGAAGTTGTGTGGTTTGTGATGTTGAAGAAATTATATTAAGGGTCATCTTCCACAACTATCTAGGCTCGAGTCACCGAAGTAGAAGATGACAGGGAGAAGCTGCCTTTCATCATTTTTATACCTCAAAAGTTGGGTCTTGGCCAAAAAAATTACAAGATCTTTTCTCTGTACTACTAGCTAAGTACACTTACCATCCATCCTCTCGTCGAACAGTGTTTTTTCCTTCAGGGCCGTGACTAGCGGCACCATGACCCCCTGGCTCTTGTCCCACATAATCTCGCAAAAACCCTCCCGCTCCGCGCCCCCGACCTTCTGCACGTTGGCGAAATTATGGAACCCGAACCCGCCGGACCCGGACTCCGCGGAGGCCAGCATGGCGGACAGCTGCGGGTTGTGCTGCGCTTCGAAGTCCAGACACCACCGGAGGAGCTCGCACACAAGGGACTGCGTGGGCTGGTCGTTTTCGACCAACAAAAGTTCCGCGATCTTTTTCAGCCACGAGGGATTGTCGATGGCGTGCTTGCGGATCAACGAGGGGTTGTGGTACGCGTACATCTATCCTGTGCAAAAGTATCGTACTCGTATTGCTAATGCAGTCATGCATTACAATTTTTTTCCTAAACAAAGGTAAATCCGCATTACAAATATTTTTTTCTCTTGCTGAGGAAATTTGTAATGCATTTATACGAGAAGTACGATACTTTTGCAGTGCATAACATCTGCAGAATGTCCAGCGCGACCGTCCGCGTGGACGCGTGCGGGGATCGGCGGATCGGGAAGGGGCCCGCGAGGTTCTCGAACTTTTTCGCCGCGGTCCGGGGGGTGAGGGGGATCAGCGTCCCATCCAACGCCGTCGTGGTCAGTTTATCTGACAGCTTCAAAGCCTCCTCCAACCCACTGGTACTAAGTTGTTTAGCAGGAGAGGAATCTTGTTTCCTGTCGCCGCTTTGTTGCGTCGTGGAAGAGGGTCCTCTTGGAGTCATTGGGAGATCATTTTTGTCCCCGGCGCCGTCGATATTATTGGTCGTGGCAGCTGCACTATGACAGTGCACAACCCCCCCTCCCCCTGATTTGTCATGCAAAATACGCAAGCCACCCTTTGCCTCTTGGCACTGTTTGCTTGACAAGTTCTGGTGGTCCAAATAGCACTACACTCCAGTGCAAATTTGTATTTGGCATGCAGAACCGGCGTTCTTGCTCATGCTTGTATTGCCGCCCATGCTATACAAATGAGGGGGAGGGGGAGTTGTGCATTGTCATATGCACCTGGCCCGTTCACGGTTTCCAGGTCGTCAATCAATTTCAACTGCTGCTGAAAGTCGTCGCTGTGGTAGAGTTATCAACTGCAAATATGTTTGGGTCTGGAAGATAATTACAGGACAACTTCTCATGCAGCTATTCCGTGCCCCATGCTGTCTCTGATGTTGTGTGTTCTAGCATCACAGATTTTCTGAGTCCTTTGTGCTGGTGCCTATCTTGCATCAGAAAGTGCCCTCTCGACGTAGCAAAAACGGAACTCCTCTTGCTGCTCAGGCAATACAGATCGTTTTAGCGCCGTCCAGAAGCAGCATCACAAGTTGCAACTCTTTCAGACCCAGACGTGGTTGCAACGCATAAGGGGTTTTCCACTTCGAAACCAATCACGTCGCCGTCGTGCGGGACTTCGGGCTCCAGGAGAAAGGGGAGCAGGAGGTTGAACAGTTGCTTTCGCTCGAAAGCGATGTACCTGAAGGATGGTTTGGATCGAAGATAAAATCCAGGTAGATGAACTACAAACATCGTTTGACTTTATGTATTTTGAGGCTTTCACAACTTCACACGACACATTGAGGATAGGATCTTTTTCGACCAATGCATGATTAGATCATAAATGTAAAATAAACTTTGGATTTGACACTTTGCAGAATTTTCGACGTGATAAAAATAAAATTTTAAAATTTCACGGATTTTGAATTTTCAACTGCAAAACTCTGCACCAAAAAAACGACGAGGCAACACCATTCCTGGATTTGTCTCATTCATTCGAATAAAGTGACAGCTTGGCTCTTCTTTTTCCTCAGGTTCGCCCACTCTTTAAAAATAAAAAATTGAAATTTCGCGGATTTATCCTTTCAATAAAAATAAAACTTTGAATTTTCGTCGATCAAATTGAAGTTCTTGTAATCCGAGTGAACTCAGAGTACTAGCAGCTTGAATATCATAGTATTGATTGTACTAAAAAGAACTGCTTGCTTTGTTACTTGTTCGTCTCTGTACGCAGGGAATTGAAATTTTGAAATCCTCCCGAAATGGTAAAAAACAAGCATCCATCAAAAGCATCCATATTTATACAGTCTCTCCTTTTCCGTTGGACTGAGGGCGTGATTCTGGTACCGCACCGTTCTTAGCGCTTCCGCTACGAAGTCCAAGGTGAGCCAATCCTTGGCCGCCAGCTGCTGGCTATGAACTGCAAAAGTATCGCACTCGTATAAATGCATTACAAATTCTCTCAGCATGAGAAATCAAATTTGTAATGCGGATTTACCTTGAGAAGAAAATTTGTAATGCATGATTGCAATACGAGTACGATACTTTTGCACAGGATACTGGCAAATGGTTTCCAACACTTCGTTATTTTCCTCCATGTCGATCCCATTGTTCCGCATCATCTTCTTCCGCTGCATCGCGTAGGAACTCTGCTGCAGATATGCAATGCAAATTTCCTGCACATGTACCAAATGCATGACAAATGTCACTACCTTGCAGGGTCCGACTTGTCATGCTGGACTAGGATTGAAGGCAAGTTTTGTCATGCAGAGACTGCATTTGTACTTCGTGTACGGGAATAAATTTACTGTGGATAGCAGACTGGGCGAGTTGGTGCAAATGGCCTCGATCAGCTGGTTCAAATTCTGCCCCTATCATATGCAAAAACGTCCCCACCCCATAGCTGTCATGCAATTCCGCATGCCAAAAAAGTTTCTCATGCGGAGCTCTATGAGAAGTATTTTTCTTTCGTGTTTTGGAATTTGTGATGCTAGAATCAGCATACTATGCTAGATCTGTCATGCTTCTGAACTAGGGAAACAGCATTACACTCCGAGGACAAACTTGTCATGCCAAACAACCAAAGCTAGTCGATTTGTCTAGCAGATTTCCAAACTTAGCTCTGGTGTGGGTACGTTTTTACTCAGGATAGCCCCACGATGATGTTCATGACCGCGGAATTTTGGTCGTCCAGCAGCTATCCTGTGCAAAAGTACTCGCATTGCAATCATGCATTACAAATCCCTTTCTTAAGCTAAATCTGCATTACAAATTTTTTTTCTCATGCTGCAGAAATTTGTATTGCATTTATACGAATACGATACTTTTGCAATGCATAGCAGCCGGGCCATGGCCACGTCGCGGACGTACTGCACCCGCAGGTTCAGGTCGATCAGTTTGAAGATTTCGTCGTTCTTGAAGGTGATCACCTTTTTGAACTTCACGTCGCGCTTCAGAATCTGGCGGTGGGGGACGACCATCGCCAGTCCGGGGTCGAACTCCATGATCCCAATCATGGCCTCGTAGTTCGTGTGGTTCAGCTGTGCAATACAAATTTCCACCCGTACATGTACAACATGCAGCACAAATTTCGCCAACTTAGAGCAGACAACTTGTCATGCTGAACAGGATTTAAGGGAAGCTTTGTCATGCAGAAACGGCTTGTGTACGTCGTGTACGGGAAATTTGCTGTGGATATCAGCATCTTCCGCACAAGGTGCTGGTCGGCGAGCGAAAGCTATCCTGTGCAAAAGTATCGCACTCGTAGTAATTGCAGTCATGCATTACAAATGTCCTTTTTTAGGTGGATCAGCATTACAGATTCCTTTTATTTCCTTCTCGAAAAATTTGTAATGCAAATCATACTAGTGCGATACTTTTGCAATGCATAAAAGCATGTTGCGGACGATCTCGAACAAATCCTTCTTGGCGTTGATCAATCCCACCTTCTCGTGAAAAATAGCTTCCGGGTTGATATACGGCCGCGGTAGTTCCTCGGGTTCCTTAGGCCCAAAAACTAGTTGTACATTCTCGGAATTGCTATTGCAAGGCTCCTGCGAAGTAGTAGTAGGTCCTGCAGCTGTTGCACTACTTCCAGGTGGCTGCTGCTGCTCTCCTCCACCGGGAAGATGAACCTGGTTTATTTTGCTACCTTCATGATCTTGCGGGGGCCCGGCGGCGTTTTTAATATTGTCCGAGCCTCCTGGTTGATGTACTATAGCCGAGTCCAGCCCTCCTGAAGTTCCAGGTTCGGGCTCTTCTTGCGGCTGCTGATGCTGCTGGGTGCTGATGTTCGTCTGTTTCCCGTCGATCGCCGTGATAACAATGTCGTCGAGTGAGGCACCGGCACTGGCACCAGCAGCTGCTCCTACACCTGTAGTGGTCGTACCACTAGAAGTTACAACGCCAGATATTAATGGTGGAGGAGCAACATTTTGCGATGGGATGCTGGCGCCACCATCTTCGGCGGCAGAGGTGCCAGAGCTTGTTCCTGCTGCTGCAGGGATGGTGCCATCCACCGTCGAATCCGTGGCACTACTAGGTCCCGTATTATAATTCCCTTGTTGCGGCGCGGTGGTTGCGGAGCTGCTGGATGCGGAGGGCTCTTCGGCATGGTTTGATGTTGTGCCGTTGGACATACTACTCGCATCCCGCATCGGCTCATCCTCGTCTTCTGCGTCAACAGCAATGTTGTCCACGTTATTATTTTTGTTGAGATCATCTCCGTCATGCAGATCATCAGTTGCATCCTTGATTTCGACATCCTCGATCGCCGCGTCCTTGATTTCCACATCCTCAGACTGATCTTCGGGAAGATGACCTTCTGGTGCACCAGCGGGAACCGCTGCACCTGCTGAAGTTGCGCCTGCAGTGGGCACGTGCTCCGGGTCCGGTCCGCTACTCAGATTGGTAATAGCACCTGATGCCGTTGTCGTTGTCTTGGTCTCTATCGCAGCTGCATTTTTATTTCCGTCCTGAACTTCTCCAGACGATGACGAGGCACCTCCTGCAGGAGCACCAGGCTGCTCATTGTCCGCTGCTGCCAGTGGTACAACCACCGCGCCAGGCACTGCAGCAGCATCTCCTGAGGCGCCGCTCGGTGAGCTGGCACTTTGCTCCTTTGAGAGTTGTTGTGCCGCCTTCATGTGTGCCTCCTTCTTCCTGATGCGCTGCTCCCACTTGCACAGCTCGCTAAACATGTCCGAAACGTTGGACAGCCTGTGTTGAAGATCGATGACAATGTCGTGTGTGCGGATTTCAATTTCTGTAAATTGTGTCGTTTCTGCACAGAAGAGGAAGAGAAATAAATGTCTGCTTTTCATCTCGAAAGTTAATGCTGGCGCGTCCATCTCCTTCATGAGGCGGCCTGACTATACAGTTACAACACTTCACCGCAACAATTCGCGGAGGAGCTGCGTTCTTCGAGTTCTTGTAGTACAAGCAAAATAAAATCCCTAGAAATTATCGTCAAACAGAAAAATTGGAAAAATTCACGCAAATCTATTTCTATTACTGCATACCAACTATCCTCCTGCGACTCCTGGGCGCAGATCCGGCGGTTGTGCGGCGTGATTCCGCATCAAATGCAAAAGTGTCTGGGTCTGGAAGATTGCGAAACTTGTCATGCTTGTCTGGCATGACCAAAAAGTTTGTGATGCGTGTCCAAGAAGAGACCGCTTTTCCTGTCATGCAAAAACGCAGTTTGTCATGCGAAAAACGCAACACAAAGAAGCGCAGATATTTCTCATGCTTGGCCGTGCATTGCAGAGCATTCACTATTCCCAACGCAGCATTACAAGTTTCCAGACCCAGACATTTTTGCATTTGATATTCCGCCGATGGAGAGCACGTGGTCGGTGACCCGCAGCCCCTGGGTATGCAAGAAAAAAACTGTGTAACTGTAAATCTGTGATGCAGAACATGCAACAGAGTTACACCTGTCATGCCAGACAGCCACGACGTCCTCTTTCCATGTGTGTTTTCCCTTACAAACCACGCATGACAGGTTCTCTGTATCATGTAGAGCAAATCTGTGATGCTGTCAGCCACAGAAAGCTACACTAACACAGTTTTTTTCTTGGATACTGGGTGGGCGGCGGCGACTGTCCGTTGTGCGCCTGGGCGTACTGCACCTGCTGTCGCGCCATGAAATTTGTGGCAAAATTCGAGAGGACCATGGAGGTTTGGTGCAAGTTTTGGAGGTCCAAAAAATCCGGGAGCACCTTCCGCCGCCGGGCATTCAGCGCCCGGGTCTTCATCTCGATGGCGCGCCGGAGCATCAACTCGGTGTCACCTGAGCGGAGAATTTGATAGAAGAGCTGGGGCGGTATCGGTGAGTTTGCTCTTGCTCACGTACTAGAATTGTTCACTAGGTTCTTGACTAAAAATATACGCGCATGTTGCTGGCAAGAAAAACGTAGATCGTTGGTCGTGTTCTTCATTCATTCGCACAAAGATGTTCTTGTAGTGGTCTTTTTCTTCTAGATACCTATCGGGTTTCCAATCGTCTCCAAGTCGGTTCGTTTTCGCGACAGTACGGCATAAAGCGCTCGTGCGTCCTCCGGTCGCTCTAGAGAAAGGGCGAAATCTTTCCCAATGATGTCTTCCCAGACGATAATGGTTTCTTGAACGGCTGTTGTGTGTAAATTGGTACGTTCAGTTCATCTGCCATGCACATGATGACTAAACGTACTTTTATTTACGAATTACTATGCGCGTCGTACAAGTACTTACAGAAGGATGTTGACAGAAGTTGGTGAGACCCACGGAGAGTTGTTGTCGTTGTATCGTGCATGCAAATTTTCACGCACCTCTTCTACCGACTCCGACGTCCAGACGTACTACTACATGTTCTTGCTTCAAGCATCAAACACGCGCAAACAGAAAATTTCGCACCTCCAGATTCCGCCGCTTCGGCTTCGCTCATGCCGTCCGTCTGCATGTGGTAGCTTTCGGCGCCGAGCACGTGAAAGGTTTTGATTTCTTTCCCTGTCTCCGTCTGAATCCGCAGCTTCCCGCGGGACAGGATCGGCACAAAGTCCATCCTCAGGTGCTGCGGTCCGGACCTTTTCTTTTTCTTCTTCTTTTTCTCCTTGTTTTGTCCCTCGTCTCCACCACCTTCTGCGGGGGAGACGCCGTTCGCCTGCGGAGACGAGGATCCGCCTTCAGGATGTTGGACGTTGCCATTGTCCTCATTTTTGTCGTCATTTCCGTTATTTTCGTCGTCCTCCACCTCCTCACTCTCGCTGTCACTGTCGCTTTTACTGGAAATGACCTTCTTGATCTCTTCCTGCTTCCGCAAATCGCAAAACACGTACCCGGTACCCAAATCGGCCCACTCCTGCTCTCCGTCGTCGTTCGTGCGGAACTCGTACAGCTTGCAGCGAAATTCGTAGTTCGTGTTTTGCTGATTGAGGTTCGGAGGTCCCAAGCCTTGCTGCGTTTGTGATGCTGCTCCTGTGGCACCGTTGTTATTGTTGTTGTAATGCTGCTGCATGAACTGACTGTAGCCCTGCCCACCGCCGCCGCCACTGCCGTAGCTGCCCTGGTGCCCGCCAGTCGTGGTTCCGGTGCCGCCACGCATTTTCCTTCTTTTTCTAGTGCGAGTGGCTGGAACCTGAAGTGGAACTCAAGGCGTTGGCGTTCTCGTTGTCGTTGTCGTGTTGAGTAGAAAATAAACAACGTGCCCGTCGCTGCCGGAAGCCGAAAAAGGGCTTTCGCTTTGCTGCGCTCCTTTGATGGGACAACGCTGCGGCGCTACGCAGAGGAAGTAGACCTAGACGTCGAGCCGGTGGAAGTAAAATGCTGCGACGTTGCGGCCCGCTCACCGCTTCGTTTCTTTGTCGTAGCTAAGACTTTTGAGAGCAGCGCAGGTAATGTTGGTTTTTCAACTTCATCTTCATCTCGTTCTCGGGGGGATCGCTCACAGAAGGATCTGCATCTGTGAGGTCTTGCTTTCTCTGTTGATTATCGTCCGGGACACGGGAAGGAGGACGGAGAAGAGCGTGTTAGATGTGCTGCTGGTGAAGGAGCGAGCTGTAAAAAAACGGTATAAAAAAAAATTTCCACTGCTCTCTTCGGGCATGGAGACCGATGTCGTGCTTGTGGAGGTCGTGACGTGGTGACTAATACATAGTCACGACTTCTGGTGCTGGAATGTCGGGACTGTCGATGCCGGCGTGGGTCAACAACTAGAAGTGGCACCAGGGGTCCTCGTCGACCTCTAGTACGACTTTTACTTCACGAACAGCACAAATTAAATTGTGAAAAAAAACGGCGATTCGAAATATTCAGCACGGACGTGGTCGTACGCAGGTCTTTTTGTCCAGGCTTCTGGGAGCAAGAGGACCTCCACCGCGGGCACCGAGGAAATCGGAATGATTTTTCAACGAAGCTCGAGCTCGTCAGGGGACCATTTTTGCTGCCGCGTCGCCAGCATAGTTGTGCTTGTCATTGGTTTTACTCATATTCGCGTTTTTACTTCGTTGTGTCGGAGTAGAGTTCACAGATCTTCAAGTAAGGCCGCCGCGCAATCGGTTTAGATTGGTATTGGGAGATGTTGAGAGAGTCTCTAACTTTATCTGGTGTAGTGGTCTCTACGGTCTACTATTTTATTATTTGGAAATGGTGAAACACAAACAACTCCCATAAAAACAACCACTACAACTGTGTCGCTTTCTAGTCGCGCTGTCGCTGGTGCTGTTGATGTTTCGTAAGAATCATTTTCATTGCTGATCGTCTTCGTGCCATGCCATGTGCAAAATTGTTGTCTACATGATTACTGGCGCTGCTGGTGCGAAATCTTCAGACATTGTCGCCGTTTCAAGAACTACGAAATCATTGAGAGCAGCATAAGATATTTCTAGACCTGAACCTGTATTAACTTGTAACGCCTACTAAAAGCGCACCCGCACGGCAAGAACCCGTGTTGAAGGAGCGTCTATACACTATATTTGCGAAACAAAGAGAAAGAAAAACATCAGGAGGAGCACCGCGAGATTTGGTTGTGGTGGCATTTTCTCTTTCAACAACATCAAGTCATTGTCATTTTTGTTTCATCAATGGATTCGCGGCTTAGGAAGCACTTTGTAAAATTTTCTTCTACAGGTGATTTTTTCGAGCTGTACTATTGCGGAGCGCCGATTCAATAGGAAAATACAAAACAAAAGCAACGGGAAAAAAAAATTACGAGTTGAAGCACTACGCAGAGAAAACCTGTGCTGTTTTAGATCAAATCTCTTTTGCTTTTCGTTTTCCATTTTGTTTTCCGTAATTTGATTTTTTTGCGTCTCTCTATCACAGCAGATATTGATATTCTTTCAATTTGGAAAGAGACTAGTTCGAAGATGTCCCGCTGAACTACAACTTTGAGCGTCAAGGTCACCAGCATGAACAGGCTCCTTTGCAAACAGAAATTCATCTTCTTGTCGGACCCTAAAGCTTCTATTTTTTGGTTGTTCCATCATATTACGACCAAAAGGCGCGCAGCTGTTTGCGTTTGGCGCCGAAAAAAAAACAACTTTTCTGGAATTTGGTGTGGTGTAGGAGTAGGTGCTATGGATTGTTTCCTCTTGTGTCTTGATCCACGACATCGACATGTTGCTGTCACTTACTTCTTTGTCACTGACATTGAGTTGACGAACACACGTAGAAGTTGCTCGATTTGTACGGTTCCGCCGCCTTGGAAGAGCTACAAGAACAGCAGCTGTACGAGAGTACAAATGCTCGGGCGAAAGTGTGGCTTGCCACAACTGCGACCACGAAAATCTTCTCGAGTAGACTTTCACTTTACCAAACTTAGAGTTAGAATTGCTCCTGTCTCTGGTTTTTGTTAAAACTTCGTAGTACTTAATACTTCTCGATGGGGGTTGTACCTACTATGAAGAGTGCTTGTAGTAAGTATTTGCGCAAACTCCTGAACTTCCAGATGTTGATGGCTTGTTTTTTTGCAACTTGCGATCACAGCACCACTGTCACTACTTTAGTACCAGATCATCTCTTCAGAAGATCATGTTGCTGGTGAGCGATTCATGGTTCTTGTTGACCACAAGGTCTTGTAGTAGTCGGTCTCATCGTGCTTCAGCTTCCTACTTCTGTTTCTTGAGTTCTTGTACTACTACATCAGTGCTACTCACTTTGTATTTGTACTAGTACAAGAAGTTGTACCCAAGAAGTACAACTACACATGAAAAATGCAATGGAAATTTTCAGCACATCAGCCCCTGTTCCAACTGTTGGATTTTGAAAAAGAGACTTTCGATTTTCTCTTTGGGTAGCATCCACTTCTCTAAAACCACCTGCCGGATCTTCTCCTCCACAAGCTTCAGCCGGTGTTCCCCCGCTCGTGCGATGTGCTCTTCTCGTCCCTGTTTGTTCTTCTGCGGGGCGTTTTTAGTTTCACTTTCATCTTCTCCCACGAAGACGTTCTCCGAATCGGACGCCGAACTATTGTTAGCCGACGAGGAAGAACTCGAACTACTAGTACCGCACGCGGAAGTGGAACCACTAGAGGAGGCCGAGGATGAATTCCGAGGATGATGATGTTCTTGATCGTGCACAACTTCTACTTCGACGTCGTTCTTCATTTCTTCCTTTTCCTGCTCGTGTAGTTTCTGATCTGCTTCTCGCACGTAATCCACCGACTCCTCGCCCGACCGCACGCAGTAGTCCAGGATGCGGTAGAGCTCCTCGCCTACAACTTCCGCGTCCTTGCTTAGATTCGTTTCCACGTCCTGGATGCACAGGCACAGCTGCTCCTCGATGATCTGAAACAAGCCGAGCTTCAGCTGGATCTGCGCCTCGAGCAGGAGGGAATTTTGGCTCGTCAGAGGGCTCGACGTCGTGGGGGCAGAAGTCTTTCTGTTGCTAGTCGTTGGAGATGAGGGCGGGGAGGCGGAGACGTCGTCGGCCGCGACGGCGCCAACCGGAGGAGGAGGCGGCGTTGGTGTTGTGGCTTGTTGTCCACTAGGTCGTGCGCTCCTGGTGCTGCTGTGCATACTCGCATCGGCGCCAGTTTTTTCTGTGCGCGACTGCTCTTTCGCCGTCTCATTTTGTTCATCTGGTGCGCATTTCTGCTTTTGAGCCGGGGAAGATGATGGTATCGTTTTTCCAGGCTCTTGTTCTACTGCCGAGGTGGCTGGACGAAGTGTCTGCTCGTGATCAACATCTTCTGGAGCGGTGACTTTTGGTGTCGGAGCGGCCGCCGCGCCCGCGGTGCTGGGCTTCATATCTTTAATATTCGGCCCTTCTCTTTCTTGCGCAGCACCACCTTGATGTAGTTCGGTCGCATCAAGAACAGAATTTTTTGGCCCTGCATGATCCGTTTGGTCGTGCGCCTTCACGACCTCTTCATCGCGCTTGGTTGTCGAGGAGTTTTTCGCTCGAGTGGCCGATAATAGTGGCACCTTTGTTACTTCTGCTCCTTTTCCTGCACAAGCTCCTGCAGCAGTCGGGGCCTCTTCAGAGGGGGCATATACTTCTTGACGAGGGGATGAAGCAGGCACGGATGAAGGTGGAACTGGAACTGGATCTGGATTATTTGATGCGTCATTTTTAGCATCGCTCGCTTTATCTGGTACACGACCACTAGCACCAGATACTGAAAGCACTACATCATCAACCGCGGCCGTAGTACACGACGAACCTGCATCAGGAGAGCTACTGTCTTTCACCGTGTCTCTCTGCGACGCGGCGGGGCTGGGAGCGTCGTTGCAGGAGCTTCGGGTCTCCGTGGCGGGGCTGTGAAAAACCTCCGAGGAGGGAGCGCGGATCAGGTCTTGCTCTTCGTCTGGGTCCTCGCGTTCCTTCTCCGCTTGTGGTTTACTTTCTTCCAGATCTGCAGTTTTCCTTTCTTCTGCTTCTACTCTAGGAACATGTCCATGATCTTGTTCCCCTTGCTTTTTTGCTGTTTCATTCTCTCCCCCCGGGCCAAGGTCAACAGCGTCGTCTTGTACCTCAAAGGAGTCTGGCATGACAAATCCTTCCGGAAACAGGGTGACTGGAGTATCCTTTAACTTTGCTTCCTTTTCACGATGATCATTTTCTTTCGCACCCTTTATTTCCACCACGACTTCTTCACTCGGGCCTGCAGCTTCAGATGAACTGGGCGTGGTTTTTTCTGCACCAGCACTGCAAAATTCTCGTGCTGCCCCTGCGGATGTCAACCAGCGAAACAGGGCTTGCGCCTCCGCCACGGTCTTCCCCTCCTTGTTTTCCCACACCCGGCCGCAACTCGTTACCCACGCGTTGCTGTTTTCCTGCTTCGTAAAAGTCCATTTTTTGTCGCAGGCGGGGGCGCAGGCACAGGCTACGGTGACGCTGATCGGAGCCCCCGCAGCTTTCTCGTGAATTTTTACGTCTGCGGTCGTCGTGGTCTGTTCGCCATTCTTCTTGTTGCCTCCTCCTGGTGTCGTGGTTTCTTCTTGCCCCTCGACCGTCTTTCCGCCTTCTAAAAATGCTTGTCCTCGACCTTCCGGTCCACCTGCAGCTGGTTGTACTACTGCTTCTGAATGTGAACAAGAAAGCGACTTTATTTCCCCCCGTTTCCACTTTTCCACTTCACTCCGCCGCATGGACTCTAGATACACAAAGAACAGGTCGCAAAACTTCATGAGCAACTTTTCCCCGACCTTTTTCTCGCACTCCTCGTTTGTCTTGCCGCCGAAAAAGTTCTTCCCGCACTTCTCCCGCACGAGCTTTCGCAGCTTGGCCCGGTTTATCAAATGGAGAAGTGTCTGGGTCTGGAAGAGTCATGCTGCTTCTGCATGACGCAGAAGGTTTGGCATGGAAGCTCTAGCATCACAGGTTTCGAGAAGCTTCCGCAATGCCGAATCCGCATGACAAATCCGCCATCTTGGTGACAGCAAGCGAGCAGCTTTTGCTGCCTACTTATGCATCAGAGATTTTTGTGTGTTCTGAAATGCGCATCACAAGTTACATCCTTCCAGACCCAGACATCTTTGCACTTGATACGGTTTTTCTTCAGCAACTGCCGTTCCTGCTCCTTTAGGTTCTTCAGCTTTTGCTTCTCTACCTTCTGTATGCATCGCAAAAGTATCGCACGTAGTAGACATCGCATGACAAATGTTTATTTCAAGAGCAGGAAGGCGATTTGTCATGGTAGATCAGGTAGAAAATATTTATATTGTGTGATGCATGAGTAAAATTGGAATTGCTATTGGTACGATACTTTTGCAAGAATGCATATTCTGTTCCTCTTCCTTCTGCCGTGCGGTTTTCTTCTGCTTCTCCACCTCCGCCCGCTTCTTCAATTCCTCTGACTCCTGTTTCTGCTGCTCCTCGTACCGCCGCCTTTCGTACCGCAGATTGAGTTATGAACTGCAAAAGTATCGTACTCGTATAAATGCATTACAAATTTTCTCGGCATGAGAAATAAAATTTGTAATGCGGATTTGACTTGAGAAAGAAATTTGTAATGCATGATTGCAATACGAGTACGATACTTTTGCACAGGATATGAGTTCCATGTGCTGCTTCTGCGAGATTCGGTTGGCTTATGACAGTGCACAACTCCCCCTCCCGCCCCTCATTTGTCATGCAAAAATCCCCAATCCGATTGCTGCGCTGTGGGACTGTTTGCATGACAAATTCCGAAGCCCGATAACTACAGTACTACACTAGGCGCATGAACTTGTCATGCACAGTTTCCCTGTGTGTTAGTGTTTGTATCGCTGTTCATGCGATACAAATGAGGGGGACGTCTTGGGGGAGTTGTGCACTCTCATATTGCTTCCTCCCGGATCTGCCGCTGGCGCTCGTACCGGGCCCGCAGTTCCTCGCTGGCCTCCTCGCCGTAGAACAAGTCCCATATGCATTGCAAATATGTCTGGGTCTGGGAACTTGTGATGCTGGTTTGCGAAACAAGAGAACGCCAGAAACAGAATCAGAAATGACGTCTCAGCATGACAGGTTTTTGAGTCGCTACGTGTTGCCTATTCTGCATGAGAAACTGGGTTTTTACACCATGACATAAAAGTGGCGCTTTTGGGTACCTTGCATGACAGACTAGACAGTCATGCTAGCAGAGCATGACAAACGAGGCAGTTTTGCAGACCCAGATGACATATGTGCAACGCATATCCCAGAAGACTTTGTCAAAGTTTCGGTAGGCCGACTTTGCCCCCATGGGGGGCATCTTCGGGTCGAAGTAACTGAACACGTAGGGGCCGTGGGGTCCCTGCGCGGTGCGGGATTGCATGTACTGGCCGAAGAGGTCGTAAAAGTCCTGCATGTCGCGCTCCACGTCGGGCTCTTCGTTCCCCAGGGCGATGTCCTTCGCTTTGTTCAACAGCTGAAACTCCTTAGTCGCCGCTCGCCTCTCCCTCTCCGGGTGCTTATCCGGGTGCTTCTGCAGCGCGAGCTGCCGGTAGGCCTTGCGGATTTGGTCCTCGCTCGGGTTGCTCAGCGGGTTCAGACCGAGCCGCCCCAGCGCCTCCTGTTTGCTCATGATCTTGTTTATATTCGTATTGTTCCCGCTGGTGCTGGTGCTGCCCGATGTGGAGGTAGGTCCTCCACCTGCTGCGGAGTTCATCTTCGGGTCGTCTTTGTTTGTCGTGCCCGCCGCGACCCCGCTCCTGCCTTGGGCAGGCGGTGATGAAGTTGGGGAAGAAGAAGCACCGGACGTCGGGGTCAGGTTCTTGGCAGTGGCCTTCGCAAAGCTACTGATCCCGGCGTGTTTCATCCTCGATTTATTGAGCTGGAATTATGAAGAAACTGACTTAAGCAGTACAACTACCACCGGAGGGTCGTGTAGGTCTTGCTTAGTTTTGTGGGCTGTGAGCAGGAGCAGGTTGTAGAAAATAAACTGCAAAAATCTCGTCCGGGCGTACGTGTCCTCCTACTCTGGAGGATTTTGCAGAAGTGGCACTTTTCTGCAACTCCTATGTAGTAGGTACTAGTTTTTTTGTATGTACATCCATGTCAGCTAGTAGCTGCAACTGCAAGTTGAATATATTTATGAAAATGCAGAAAACTACTATTTCCGGTTACAGAGAAGATGCGATGGGTGATGTGCAGCTACTGCTACGTCTAAGAAGTATGTCGACTACATGGGGTCGTCGTGGGGTCGTCAGATAGGTAAGATGAGGTTCTGTATTTTGGAAAAAAATACGATAGGAATAGGCACATATGCGCATCGCCGAACGATGGATTGGCAAACCTACGTGAAAGTATTATGAGTTGTACCGAAAACCAAGAGAACGACAACGAGCAACTGGAAGCTTCACGATGACATGCATCAATTATCCAGCTGTACACGAGACCACAGAAACCGACGGAGGTGAAAGCACATCAAAGCACGACGGCGAGGAGCTTGTTGCACGATGTTGACAATTACAAACGACAAGCTGGCAGGCTCATACGCACGAAGTACTTGTTTTTGGGACGTACGAACAACTACACAACCGATGTGCAGTATGGGAAACATCACTAGCACTACACATCAAATTGACCGAAATTAATTTCAACACTTCTGAGCGCATCATTCCAATAGACGTAATACCGAGCGATCTGAAGATGACGATGGGCAATCCTCTACTTCTTGTTCTCAATGTCTTCTATTGGAGCAGTGTTCCCGAGGACCTATCCGACGAGCGAAAGGACGATGAAGACGAACAAGATGAAAAATGGAAATAGTCCATGGTGAAAGTAGCTAAAGCTTAAGCCTCACATTTACATATAGCAGCCACCTGCTGCACTGTTCATTCTTTCTTGATTCAGCGTTATCACAACAAAAATTACTTTCTTATTCTGCATGGAAATGAACGTAAGAGTAGAAGAGGATAGAGATGAGACTGTCCCTGTGCAGCCGCAACTGACGAAATAACCACAAGCCCTCGCTAGATAACTGGCGCCGTGGTGAACCGGAAGAGCTGCGAAAAGAAAAACGTGGCAAAAGTGGATGCGAGGCAGACCACATTGAAGGGCATGGAAAAGTCTGGCATCTGCACCATCACAAGGGCACCGGTTGTGAAGAAGATTTCTTGATGTTCTTGTGCGTCAGCTGGAGCAGCTTCTTGTGGCACGAGCAGCGTATCAACAGGCTTATTTCTGTCGCTATTTATTCGAAGAGATGGAGTCGCACTTCTCGTGACGATTTGCCACGCAGCGGACCCCACATCGAAGCCCTTTTCACTGGCAAAGGAGAAATCGTCCGTATGCACAAACCGCTTGACCAGGTGGACGGTGAAAGTTGTCATGCTCCCTCCTCGTCCAACAGCAACATTTGGTACGAAGAAATCAAACACCAGCTGCCCCTTTTTCTCTCTGCGAGCGCGGAGACGCAGTTGCACTTTGTCCAGTGCTCTCTCGGCACTGTAGGTCTGTTCAGTTTCTTCAACGTCTCGCGTTTGTTCTACTTCTTCTTCTACCAGAGCTCCTGCTGGTGAACTACTTCTACTCTTCACCACCACCATAGACGTGCTCCACAGGGGTTGCAAGAAGTAGGGTAGCGACTCGGTGACCGTAATGCCGGAGATAGTGGGATAGTGAGATGTTGAGCTCCTGCGACCACTAGTGGTCTCGTCTCCAACTACAGTTTGTCGTTGTGCCGCTAGGTGCCGGTCTCTACTTTCAGGCGTAGTTGCTCTTCCTTTTGTTTTTTCCTCTCGTCCTTCATGACCATGATACCCCCCTGTTACAGCGACGTCGCCATCTAATACCTCCTGTGAAGTAGTAGACCACGTTCCTTCCGGAAACAGCACTTGAAACCGCCACAGGCCGTCACTTCTGGGGGACCCCTGCGCCCCCGGCAAGATTTGACGTATCACGGTCGGGGAGACAACTTCGTTTTCGGCGATAACGATACGATGGCCGCTTTTAATATTTCTTGCTGCCTCACCTTCTGTATCAACATGCACTTGGCCTCCAGCACCAGAGGCAGAAGCTGAGGAGCTGCCCACAACCTGTCCGTCTTCTGCAACGGTCGTGGGCGATAGTGATTCGTTCCTTCGTGTGGCCGGCGCACCACTGGCGCCTTCGTCACGCTGCTCTTGATGAAGCTTTTCCTGGTTCTTCTCGGAAATAGAGTTATTTCTAGCAGCACTACCAGTTCTTGCCACGAGCGTTCTCGCAGCTGAAGGTGAAGATGCTCCACCTTGCAGCATCCCACGCAGGTCCGCGACGGTGAGCGATTCTAGATGTGGTCTAGGGTAGTAGTTCTGGGCTCTTGTTCTTCTGCTCGTGGCTCCTTTACTAGCGTCCCCGTGTTCCTGATCTTCGACTTCTTGCACTTCGACGTTTGGTTTAGTAGTTCGGTTCCATCGACTTCGCAGCAATGCGGCGCTAACCTCATCCAGGGAATGAGTCGTAGAAGAAATAATCAGAGAAGTCGCAGCTCCTGCAGCAGAAGTGGAAGGAACAAGTGGGCTTTCAACGATTACCGTCGGCGGAAACTTGCTCGCGGAGCATGGGCGAAAGGATGAAAGCCGATTTCTTGCAGAAGTTCTTGTTGGTCTTGCTGCAGTCGTAGTCGCTGATGCGTTCTTATCAACATTTCGACGTAGCTCTTCATAGCTACGCAAGCTTCCGATGATATCCTGCACCACCAGTGCCTCCATTTCCGGTCGCTTCAACACTGCCGTTAGCGCCAATTCGACCCTGCCCTGGCGCGTAGCCTTGAACGTGAGCGAGAAATATCGTGCGCGGGCAAAGGTGAGACTTCGTTCCTTGCCGCCCAAAAATTGCGCGATGCCCGCCTCCTTGCGGCAGGGCAGCAAGCGGAGCCAGGGAGTCAGGTTCTCGGTGCACACTGGCTCGTAGGGAAGGGTCATGTAAAACCGCCGCCGCGGTGGGGCAGCACGACGAGTAGGCAAATCTATTTCCTCTGGAGGAGGTGGGGCTGCTGTTCCTGTTGCTGCTCTCGCGGTTTCGTGTTTCCTCAAGGATTTTTTTGGCAAATTGACACCGCCGGTCGTGTGCTGCAAAATCTCCACGGGTTGAATCCACTCGTACCCGGTATGCCCCGTGTCCATGGCTTCAAAAGACGCACGCGTATCAAGTGCAAAAGCTGTATCGCACTCGTTCGTATCAATATACTGCTTTTTCTTTAAAATAAAACATTGATCTCGGTCTGAAACTGAAAGAAACTACTGAACTCTAGCACTCCAAGCTAGCACCATTTCTCAACTTTGCGGGAATAAAACTCCTTGCTGTCATGCAGATTCTACTAGTGCGATATTAGCGATACTTTATTTCCCATGCGTAGCACAGCAGCCCAGACAGCTGAAACACGAGCTTGCTCCAATCCAAGGAGGACACGGAGGTCGCAAGAAGCGTTGCACCGGGAGGGAAGGTTGGAAAGTTGAGTTTCATGCTTCTTTTCGGAGCTGCACTCCTGTTATCAACCTCGTTTACTACTACCCGTCCTTGCGTTAGAGACGCCTCAAACTCCTGCAGGTTGGCATCGGAGGCAAAAATCTGCTCCAGCGCTTTCTGTTGAAATGGTGAAGTAGATGATGATGATGATGATGATGATAACGGTCCTCGTAATGTTGAAGGGTCTTCACCACCGTTCGCGCCGGACGATGCTGCCTTGTTATCTTCTGATGACGAAAAGGACGACCTGGTGACAGCATGATCTGTAGTAGAACTTGAACTGCAGGTGCCGGCCGGGGTTTTGCTGCTCCGTGTGTTATCTGTAACTGTCGCAAATTGCAGACGGACGAGGAACTCCTCGTCGTTGTTTCCTTCCGTCGAGTCGAATTTCAATTTGTTGGTATCTTCTTGATCTCGTCGCTCATTTCGACCGAGTGAGTCATAATTCTTCAATGCCCCCGCCAGGTCAAAAACATCATGATCGTGGTCCGACTGCGAACTTCGCAAACCACCGAGTGGCTTCACGGACACTGTTTCCTCGAACTGTGGTGGGCGTCGTCGAGGTCGCGCAGCTGCGTTCTTGTTCCCTGCACAGTCTGCTAATCCAACACTGGCTCCTGCAGCAACGAGCTGCAAAAATCGCTTTGAGAAGAAGACGAAGATCATCATAATTATGCACAGGATCTGATGCCCGGTCGTGCACAACGACAGGCTATGTCGAGGTTTGGAGGAACAAGTGACAACGCGTTCGATTTGTGTCCTCTTCCGATCTTGTCCTCGTTCATCTAGTGATATTAGTGTGGTAAGACTTCTTCTAAGATGTTTCGTGCAGTAGTAAAATTGTTCAAATAGAACGAATGCTTGACTGCATACGCAACTACTGCCAAAAGCAATTAGATCGTCCACGCAAATCGAGCCTAACCGTAGAAGCAAGCTCGAATAAGGACTTACTACAGACTGTGACTGAATCTGATGAGTCCGAGTGATACGAAGCGATAGCGAAAGCGACTACAGTTACGCATAATTGATGATGATGTACTGCGTAAAAGATAGAAAAAGAAATGATAGGGCAACATTCTCCGGACGAGAGGGAGCTCTGCGAAGTGTGACCACCCTAGAACGCGCAAACAAAAGACAGCGCCGGCAGGCTGTGCAGCGGGCCCATGCGCAAAAAGCAAGAACAAAAGTTTAAAATCTACAAGAACGACCACCAGAGGCCCGACCACCATCATCGAAAATAAAATCAGGAGACAAAAACTTTTTTATTCTGAAAGAACCAAACGCGAACGGACAAATAAGTCAAATGGAAGCTATGTTCCCAAGTTCACAACAAGCAGACTTCTATGTATAGTTGTAACAATACCAAACCACTCACGACCGAAAAAATCAATCTTCCAACGTCGTTCATGACAAAAAGCGCGTAAGTACGCGTGCTTATTGAGCTCGCCCGAAACAAATATCAGAAGCCCCCGCACCACGGCCACATCAAAACGACGGAATAAATCCGAAAAAATACCCCACTGACTTCGGTCTCGGTGGACATGTCCACATAAAATCAAAATGAATATGGGCATTGTTGTTGCATTCGACATGGTGCTTCTACTGCCGCTTCTTGGCCAAAAATTTTAGGTAGACTTTAGGGGTTGAAAGAATTAAGGTTTTGGTCAAGGTTTTGATTTGCGATTTTTCATTTTTTTTCTCTTCGCCCTGAATGGAAAAGGAAGGCGCAGACCATCCAGCCGAAAAAGCTCGCTGCGCCGATATCAACATCTCGGCCGGTATCCAGACCAGCAGAAGTCGGTCAAAATGGAGGCCACGCGCTTGCTGCTTTCAACCTCTCCCCCGGGTGAATACGATGAAGCCGCGGCGGCATTTCTCTCGGCTTCTGCTGACCTGGACTGCTGGCCAAGCTATTAACCTCGATACCTCCCCAGAAGAACCCCAGACGCATGCCATCCGCCGCGGGGTATTTGGGACGCCGGGCTGCTGGGCCGGCTTCTCCGCCCCCAGATCTCATCCCGCGGTGGTGCGTAGCGGGGCCCGGGGGAAGAGGCTGAGCAGCTGCGGGCTTGCCCGGCTGGAGGTTTGGCCGGGTCCCGATTGCCGCCATGGCGGCAAGTTCTCGGCAAAGCCTTCTCGTGACAAAAGCGCACCAGAATGGAAGCAGGTTCTGATTTTTTCCGGGAGCTTTCCCCAGGCTAAAGCTTACGCCTTTGCCCTTGCTTTGGCCCCCCCCCCTGTTGGCCGAACTTGCGGGCCTAAACTAGGCCGACACAGGCGCCCATATCTTGGCCGGGCGGCCTGCCTTTTCCTGCGGGTTCCCTGGGACAAATGGCAGGGCCCCCGGCTTCTACTGCCGCTTCTTGGCCAAAAGTTTTAGGTAGACTAGAAAGTAAAAGGTCAGAAGAGGTAGCTGCTCGTCACGAATTTCCGATTATTGAAAATGATGAAAAAACGAGGTCTTTGATGTTCCCGCGCAGCCAGTGCTAAGCAGTTCTTTGTCTGTTTTGGGTGTAGTGCCATCATCTGTTTTTTGATTTTGCATGTTGTGTTTCAAAAATAGTTGTACTTATGTCCATCACCACTCCCATTTGACGCCAGCATACGTCGATGACAATCTTGTAAACTGATTCTTTTACTTTTTCAAATTGCAAATCCGATTTTCGCCAGTCCCCCTTTCCAAGGGCTCGGGACGTAGATCTGCGAGCCGATCACGTAGTATACAATTCCGAGTTCGTCAAGATAAACCGGCAGCTGCGAAAGGGCGACATTCGCTCTGTAGTTGTCGTAGTTCTCGTGGTGTCCTCCTTCGACTTGTGTTGCAGCTGTGGACGACATTGACAGCAGCTTCCGCGTTTCTTCGTACTCGATTTGGGCCGCCAGCTTGAAGATACCCTGGTCGAAGCAGTGCTCGGGGAAAGGATCCTCCACCTGGTTTTCAAAATTCAGGTTCAGGCCGTGGGTGTTCGGGAGGCAGCCGTGCTCCTTCAGCTTGTTGTAGCAGTGCCAAAGCTGGTCGATCCCAACGGCCACCTTCCGGAGCACGAAACTCACCCGGCCGTAGTTGGTATCAAATGACAAAGTGTCGGGGTCTGGAAGAGTCATGCTATTTTTCCATGACGCAGAAGGTCTGGCATGGAAGCTCGAGCATCACAGGTTTCGAGAAGCTTCCGCAATGCCAAATCCGCATGACAAATCCCCCAGTTTGGTGACAGGGAGTGGGCAGCTTTTGCTACCTATGCATGAGAAATTTTTCTCCTGTGTCCTGAACTGCGCATCACAAATTACATCCTTCCAGACCCAGACATTTTTGCACTTGATAGTTGGGACAATTGTGCAACAGCCGGTAAGCCGCCGTCTCGTCGGGACACGTGATCACGCCTCGCAAGACGGCGCGGCGGTCGGCGGGAGCGGGATCGGCGTCTTTACAGATGCTCTGTGGTCGCGCAGGTCCTCGTCTACTAGGACGGGGGCAGGCAGTGTAGCTATCTTCCACTGGTATTGAACCAGCTCCAGCGACAGTGTCATCTGCATCGCTCGTGGTCTCTTCATGACTACGACGTTCATGAACATCAATACTAGGTGGCGTTGTGCAGCAGCTCGACGCGAACGATGAATTCTCTGTAGTACTGCCAACGGTGGAGCAAGAACGGCTCTTGAGGAGGTTGTTCTCCTGGTGTTCTACAACTACGAACTGATTGTCTTTGTCACTTGTCTGCACTTTCTTCATCATCTGTGGCTGGTCGTGTAGGGCAGGCCGCGTATTGTTTGCTTCTTGATGGAGGTCATCAGGTAGTGGTAGTCCTGGTCCTCGTCTTGTTTCCCTTCTTTCTTGCCAGCCCGTCCCGTCATTTTGGTCGTGTGCTAGCTGTGCTCCTTCGCCTTCATGTTTCATCTCTGCATTGATACCACGACCACGACCTCCGCAGCGACTGCCTCCATCGGAACTACCGTCCAGCCTCTTTTTGGGGCCATAATAATTGGAGCTTCTACCATGATCAGCTTTTGGAGGTCCTCCTCGCCCACCTCGTCGTGGATTGGTCTTGGTCTTGCTGCCGCGGAGGTCGTAGTCTTTTTTCAACGTTGCAGCTTCTCCGCTGATCATGTCTTTATTTGCGTCCACTTTCCGTTCTTGTACTTGTGATAGTGCCTCTTGTTGGAGCTTCATCTTTCCTTGCTTATGCTTCCCGACGTGGTTGCAGCTCCTGCAGGAGAGATTTTTGTACTTCTGTTCCAGAAAGTCTCTGTCCTGCGCCTCTTCCTATCGAATGCAAAAGCATCGTCGCGTGCTCGACGTACAACTTCATCTAACAGCAGATATTGATATGCATGACAAAAAAACTAATTCCGGATCCAGCTGCTAAGGTTTTGTTGAGCCAGGAGCAAGACAAACTGCATCTTTCGATGCTTTTGCAATTCATACTTCCTCTGACAGAAGCTCCACCTCCTGATCGTACTCGCGCACATCGTTCCATTGCAGAAGTGTCGTGAACGATCCCACCAAAAAACTGTCTCACTATTTGCAGAGTCAGCAATACAACAAATTCGCTGGTCACGCTTTGGTTACCAGATGACACACTAAATCTGGAGTGCGTCTTCAGACACAAGAGAAACAAACACAGAACGGAAATGAGATGACTTTCGTGCAGCAGGTGGAGCATGACAAAAAACTGTCCCGAGCAATGGTGCCAATATCCACATATACGAAATTGAGACTGAGCCATCAGTTTCAGTTTTTTCTCGCGATATGAACAGCTGCGCATCTTCCTCCCACCAAAACTCGCGGTTCATTTTGTCCAGCCCTTGCATCCGCATCCTTTGGTCTAGCTTGGCAATTTCCGCCGCCGGGTCGAGCCTGCTCAGTTGCACTTGCACCATGTTCAGGACAGGGATTGTGCCAGAACTTTGGGCTGGTTCAGTCGTACTACAACCCGATGGTCTGCTGGATGTCGCAGCTTTACTCGTTCTATCCTCTGCAAAAGTCTATCGTGCTCGTAGTGAAAGTGACTGCAGTCGTGCGTGACAAATTCAAATCAAACCTTCTTCTTCTACCTGAACTAGCATGAAAAATTGATGCATGTTCGTTCTTTTTGGCAGAATTTGTGATGCTATTTGTCATAGTCGATGAATATAGTACTTTTGCAATCCATAAGTTGCTGTAGTACTTCGGGAGGTCGTGGTGAGACATTCAGAAAAATCATCCACGTCCACTTCCTCTTTCCGACGGCCTTGCTCCACTTCCGCGACCCCGAGCGAAATCTATCGCAAGAAGAAACTGCTTCACTGTTCTAAACTTGCAAAGCAGAGCGCGTAGGACAGAACTGCTTGTGGTCTTGCCACACATGCAAGACGAGGGCACCGGATTTTTAATCGGTGTTTGTCCTTTTCGTCAAAAAGCTCGCGTGACAAATTTCCTATTGTAATTATATCGAGCGACATATTTGTACTGCGCAACATGCAAAAGCATTTTTACAGTGAAGCACCCTTTTCTTACGATCATAAAGCCGTGCTGTCATAAACCAGACCTTCATCACCGGTAGATAACGAGGTGGATGTGGTCGACCCTGTTGTACTAGTAGCACGACTTGTTCTAGTATTCCCTGTCGGAGATGTTGTTTCTCCTGCTTTATTTGCCGTGCGATCTGTGCTAGTACAACCCAAGGACTGTCCGCCTCCACCTCCGCCGCTGCGCTGCAACTGCAGAAGCTGCAACATCTGCTTGCACGAATTGCTCCACGAGCGCCCGGCGTTGAGGAGCGTGTCGGGGGTCACGGAGTGTAGAAACTTGGGTTGGTACCCACACAGCCAGAGGGTGTCGAACAGGTCGGGCAACTGCATCACACGCGCCGCGAATTTGACCAGAGGTATGTTGGTCTGAATCCAGGACTTAAAACCGGTGCTCTTGCGGTACGCCAGGTGTGGGGGCGGCAGCCGGTGAAAGATTTTTCGGCCGGTCAGCAGCACGGCCGACAGCGCGTAGCCGGACTGTTGCCGAAGTACGTACTGCGAGAACGCGGCGTGTTCCTGTTTCTCCCAGAAAGACTCCAGGAAACCACGGCTCAACTTGCTATTTTTTTTCATCTTCTTATTGCCCTTCTCATCCTCCCGCTCACGTCCAAGCTCGAGCATCACTTGCAAGGGCAGGCTTTTGCTCCGCGGCATCGACGGCTGCTGCTCGCTTGAGGGCGGTGGATGCTGAGCATGCCCGCCAGCCGCGGTCGTGCAGGAGTTGTTCTGGGTGTCGTGTACTTGTACTATCCCTGCGGCTCCCGCTCTTGTCCGCATGTACTGGCTGATGTGTAGACTGTGTCCGTCGAAAGCAACATCTGCCCCGAAGGGCGGGCCAGTATGATTGGGATCTTTGAACTCGTAGAAGGTGTTCTTCACTGCCACACTGACGGCCGTCTGGTGCATGCGCTTCCACTCTTCCCAGCACCCGACCACGCCGGCGCGAACTTTGCTGCCGAAGGCCAGCGTCCCCACCCGCATGCGCGTGGCCAGGCTGGTGCTCAGCGTGTAGCTCGTCACAGCGGAGGACAGAGCAGACTCAAGTTCTACGTCACGGTCCTGGTCGTTTTCCTGACGAAATGTAGTGCTGCTAGTCGTTGTACCCGAAGGACAAGATGAAAATGTTGCACAAGGACTTTCCACACAATTTGCCGCTGCACCAGTAGCAGCAGCAGCTGCCGCAACCCCATCAACGCGCTCTCCATTGTTCTCGGCGGAGCAGGAGCTGCTGTCGGTGCTTCTCATCTTCTGTGCCCGTTTCGCCTCGATTCGCCACCCCTTGCCCGGGCGAAAATACAAAAAATTTTTGCTTGCTTTCTGCACCTGTTCCTGTACAACTTGCAAACAAGCTCCTTCGGCACGACCTGCTTGAGCAACATTTTCATCACCATCTGCCGGGTCTTGTGATGTACTACTACTTGTACAACTACCGTTACTAGCATTTGTATTTCTCCCAGCATTTTTCTTTGACATTTTCATCTTTTTGTTGTCCTTCTTCTTCTTATTTCCCGCCCCGGAGGTAGTTGTGGAGGGTGCAGCTGCACCTGCACGTGGACGCGCAGCAGCAGTAGTTCCGTTTCTGTTTACTTTCGCACCTCCTGCTCCTGCCAGGGGTCCGCGTAAAGAGAAAGTGAGAAGCGACGAAGAGGGTTGTGAGTGGACGACCTCCAGGGCAGTTCTCCTCGTTGGACAGTTAGGAGTAGCAGCTCGAGGACGAGCAGCGCTACCTTGTTCTTCTTGCTCGCCGGAGCAATTCCTTGTGCGGTGACCACCTTGAGAACTACCAACATTTTGTTCTCCGCAAAAATCATTGTTTGCTTGTCCGCAATTTTTCCCGACCACGAAAACTTTTTTGATGTTTTTCCTAGTACAACTGCTCGTAGAAGATGATATTCCTTCATCGGCGTTAGTCGCATCATCAGCCAGCTGTGTTTGTTCTGGTGGTGCACGTGCAGAGTCGCGGCCGTTCGATTCAATACATGTTCGAGTCGGAGCCCCAGGAGCTGGTGCGCCGGGCCAAGAAGACGAAGACGAAGTCTCGGCGGCCACTTCGTAGTCGCCCCACAGTTCTAGCTGGAGCTTGCGCACACTGACCTTGTCCCTCCAACATCGTGGAGGTCGTCGTCCGGAATTACTTTGCGTGTTAGCCGCAGCCGGTGCTGCTGGTGGGATAGTTGTATTGGAGCTGGATGTCAAAGTTCTTGCACCGGCAGAAGCAGGTGTGCTGACCGCAGAAGTCACAGACTGCTGCTGCTGCTTGAAATCATAAAGACAACTACTTTCGCTGTAAAATCTGTTCTCATCGGCCGGTGGTCGTGTTGCGGTAGACGAGTGTGATACTTTTACTTGCGGTTGCGCCGTCGAAAGAGTTCCTACTGCAGAAGTGCTCGTCGAGGAGCGGCTAAATGATGTTTCGTCTTCTTGACCTTGACCTTGCTGAGCAATGGTGCCTGAGTTGGGAAAAATTATGGGATTCGTGCTGCACAAGTTCCTCGTCTGTTCATCCTGTCTTACAATAGGTTCCAACATTTTTTGCAAGAACCCGTGGTCCTCCACCTTGCTTGCAGTTGTGTCTACTTCTACCACCCCGCCGTGCTCCTCCTGTCCATGCTGCTGGAGGTCCGGCTGCTGGTGGTTTTGGTGCTCCTGAACAACAAAAGGACCACCAACGTCGACCGGCGGAGGAGCAAGAACGTAGAGAAAGGTGTTCACGTCCAGAAGATCGTCGTGCACAACTGGCACTGCATCTGCAACATTCTCGACATCTTGGACACGGCGACACGACTCGGCCTGGCAGTGCTCTGCTGGCTCCTGCTTGCGTGTAGAGGAACTACACACTTCTGCAGGTACTGCTCCTGCAGCCGATTCCTGAACTTGATTTAAGCTGCTACTTCCATGCGCAGCTATTTCCTCCGCGAAGCCGCCAGCGAATTTGTTGTAGTTCTTACCCTGGATGGTCCTCGTGCCACTGGTACTACGACAACTAGATCTAGTACAAGCACGACGACCCCCGCCCTCCTCGACACTACCGTCGCCACGGCCTCCGGCTGCGCTGGCAGGGGTCGTGGCGGAGGAGGGTGAAACTATTTTATCTGATAATGTTGTGCTGTGCTGTTGCTCATGTTGCTCTGGTCGTGTGCTGGTACTGCTACGGCTCCACTTGGCTGTTGAAGCGGTGTACTTCATTCTGGTCATGTCATCTTTATGACTGTCCACATGTCGACGCATCAGACCATCTTCAGTACTAGTACTAGAGGCAGTAGTTTTATCGCGAGGAGCGCCTGCACCTTGGAACACGGAGCACGATGTTAATGAACCACCTGCATGAAGATCATGTTCCTGACCACCTGCTCGACCTCCAAGGACATCTACTTCTTGTTCAACCACAACAGGCACCTTTGGAGGACGATTTTTTATGCTTGCGCGAACAAGATCTTCATCCTCCTCTCTTCTACATTTTCCAACCTCCACTTCGATTTGCGCAGCCCGTGCGTCTTTCGCTACCGCCTTTTCATCTGCGCCACCAGCAACCTCTCCTCCAAGAACTTTTTCTGCCTGGTTGTAGTTCATCTCCGAAGCTGGTGCAAACTGGCTACTGTACGTGCTGTGGTCTGCACGTAAGACGGATCCACTTGCTGCAGAAGCAGCTGCTCGAGTAGTTGCAGTGGCCTGGCTCGTCCGGTCGTTCTGGTCGAGATCGTCGTGTCGCCATAATCGGCGTTCGTTGTTCTGCTGCAGATTTTTCTTCTTTTCCGGAGTAAAACGAAACCAAAACTCGAAGAGCCGCCCCAGTGTGATCACGCGGGTGGAGGTCTTTGAGCGGTGGTCCTCGACGCCGTCGTGCTTGTAACAACTAGAGCTGTTCTTGGTGCTGCTGGTGATCTTCGACGAGCAGCAAGAAGCAGGTTCTTCGGAGAGAAGGTGCAGAACCACACGGGGCTTGGATCGGCAGGCTTGTTCTTCCTGCGCCGATTGATGTAGTTGGGAGCAAGCACCACCATCGCCACCAGCTGCTTCGCACGGAGGAGGTTCTGGACAGAATCCATCCGGTGGTGATGGTCGTGAACAAGCAGCAGCAACAGCAGCAGCAGCTCCGCGTTTTTGCTGCGAGGACGTCGATAATATTCTCGTCTCATGATCTACCACCTCTCGTCGCACATCTGTCAACAGCGCTTCAGCTTCTGCAAGTTCATCTGCGTGATCAGCTGTACAAGAACTTCTGCTAGCGTTACTTCCTTCTGGACGCGCCGCTTGCACAGTTTCGTCTCGCGGTCCTCCACCTCCGCTTGCACCGGTCGGGGTCTGGGACGAGGGGGACGAAACGACGATTCGCCCGCAGCAGAAGGATGGACAGGTGGAGGGCGTAGAATTATTTGGATTTCCAGGAGTACTAGATGCTGCAGGAGCGCAAGATGTTGCTGCAGGTCCGCCAGAAAGAACTGTTTCATGTTGATGTTGTTGTTGTTCCTGTATTTTCTCATTCGTCTGTTGCTCCGGCTGATCGTGCTGCAAGCAAATCTTCTGCTGCAACAAGGCCGTGGGAATGTCAACTTCCAGAAATCATATGGCAGCGTCAGGTAATGGAAGGAAATAATTATCGAGGACATGGACTGGTCGAATAGGGCTGCTCTAGAAGTACTAAATTACCATGCAGATGAAGAAGTGCATCAAAATAATACTGTCGCTGTCCACCACGCTTTCATGCAAAAATGAAAAGTATCTGTATCACCTTGATATAATTTCCAGAAATTATTTGTCCAATCATGTGTCGACGAAAATTCCTGTCCATGACTGCACGCTTCCATACACCGGCGAAAGAGTTCACTCCGCGTCCCGGCCCCGCCGCCGGCGCTGAGTTGCTCCTTCGCAAATTTGAGCCGTTCAAACATCTTCTGCATGACGGCCAGCCCCGCGATGCTCCGGGTGCCATCGAGGCAGAAGAACCCGATTTCCAGGCCATCACACCCCTCCACAAGCACGGCGACGGTTGGCGGGTCGCGGTTGTTTGTTTTTCTACTTCGGGCGGGAAGATGTTGATGTTGCTCCGGGCCCGGGGCGGCCAGGTTGCTGCTACAACTGGTCCACGTGCAGTTCGTCGAATTCCACGACCTATCATGCAGCCTATCAAAATACCCAGAGCTCGTCGTCCGGCCGGCGGCGTCGGCGACGCCGCCGCCGCTTGCACAGTCCGCATAGTTTTTGTCGGTCAGTGAGAGTGGAGTAGATGCAGTTCTTGTTTTCAGATCAGCACCTCCGTCGTCCTGCTGGGCCAAGAAACGTCCTCGTCCTCCAACGGCCCCACCATCCGGCTGAGCGGATAGCCGCGGCGGCCCATCCTCAACTTTACTACGTTGCCCGTTTTCCGGCAACGAAGATTCTCCAGACGGCCTGCTCGTCGGCGCCCCAGACGTTTTTGTTTCGGATAGCAAGGTCGTGCAGGACGGGCAGCTCGACGTCCACCCTGTTCCGCTAGTCGTGCTCGGCGGGTAAGACGACTTTGCGCTATCTCCAGGCGAAGATGAGTAGACCGGTTGTAGAAGGCCGCGTTCTTCTACTTGGGGGGCTCGAGGATCTCGAAAAAGTGGCTCTTGTGCTGCACGACCGGAGGATGGCGACGCACTACGCGTCTTCAAACTCGTCCCTTGTTCCACGGCAGTCCTCGCAGAAGTTCCTTGATCTCCTCCTGCATCATCAGAATGAGAAGAAGAAGATGATGATGATAGTACTGATGATGATGAAACAGGCGTAGAAGGAGCACGTAAGAGAGGATGTTGAGATGTAGTTCGACTTGGTGGATGAACAGCAAGGTGGATAAAGTCCTCCTTCTCCTCTTCGCGCCGCGACAAAATTTCGACCTCAAGGCCTTCCGGCTCCCACACGCGGGTCAACGGGGAAGAAAACGGAGGAGGACGACGAGTCGGACAGATTTATAACACGAAAGAACAGCACCAGTACTAGCGTTAAAAAAAGCGAAATTTGTTTGGCACAGCTCCGTGATAACAAGGCAACATCAAAAGCGGCTGGGGTCGTGAATCTGCATTGCATGGACATGGCATGCATCAGACGGCATCCTCGCAATTATCTGGCGGTTGCAAGAAAATGAAAAATGAATACGTGTACGTTGCACGACTACTCCGAGATTTATGAAAATGCAAATAGCCACTGGTAGTAACGCTAGCACGTCTAAAAGTAGTTTGTTATTGTTTGATATAGGAGGCGCTAGAGCCTTGCTCCCTTCGTTGTCATTCTGCAGCGCCGTGGAGGTCGGTTCTCCGTTATTCTGTAGCAGATCCTGCGCCTGAAGAACTGCGTCGCCCTTGTTTCGTGCAATGTTGTTCCTCGTCCGCCGGTATCCACTGCAAATGTATCGTAGTACTACCCGTAGTGATTCTTGCACGTTATAATGCACGACAAATCACATCATGATCTACTAATACTCGAGACCCTGATCCAGCATGACATACTGCTTCCTTTTTTTTTTCTCCTGAGAAAGATTAAATTGTTCTATAATTCATACAACGGAAACTATACTATACAAGCTCAACTACGAAGGTACTTTTCGATTTGGTTTTGCAATGCATAACCGGGCGGCTCGCTTCCCCGCGAACGTCTTCCGCTTGGTGCCGCCGCAATATCACATGCAAATGACTCTGGGTCTGGAACAGTGCCAATGTTTGCGTTTGCTATGCCTATGCAACGTGTCTTTTGCATCTTCACACAAATGGCCTCAAAAAGTGCACCCAAAAGCACCACAGGTTTTGCAGACGAGCAGGGCTCATGCTGTCTATTCCGCTTGAGAAACTTGCCCGACGGAGTCGGGAAAAAAATGGGCTGCTTCTGGCGCTATTTTCATGTGCTTTGGAGTTAGCGTCACAGGTTTGATGCGTTCTTCAACTTCCAGACTTATTTGAGACATTTGCAATGAATACGTTGGTCCCTCCAGCAACATCAGACTCTTGTGCGGGGGACTTTTTCGGAAAACCACCCAGCGGCTGTCCAAGAAAAAAGGATTTGAGGTGTAAGTTTCTTTATATACAGAACAGCATTTGCTTTTGCATTTACAAATCTGACACTCATGCGCTTTCATTATGGACCCAGGGTCCACAATTAGAGCGCGGGCGTGTTTTGCACGACCACCATGACAGACGCAATTCTATAACTGCATGTTGCGCGTCACAATAAGTGCTCACATCACCGCACAACTTTTTTTGTTGGATAGCGGCTCGTCCTGCTCCTGCTGTTGTCGAGCAATTTCGTAGATGTTCTTCTTGACCCTCGCCAAGTAGTATGCAGTGCAAATATGTAGTCTGGGTGACTGGAAAACTGCAAGTTGTAATGCGCCCTGTAGTTGTAGATCAGGATCATCACGCAAAAACTTTTCGTTTTCTCGCCCGGGTACTAGGTATAGCACAAGATGCTCATCTTTGGCCTTCCTGCGGTCGCGAGAATTTGAATTGTCTGTCAGGAAAAAGCACATGCATAGCAAAACCCTAACCTTACAAAACCTGCGATGCTGAAAACTGCACTCCAGTCCTCGCGCTCGCAAGGTCCAAGCATCCAAAACCTGCATGACAAACTCCTGCACTTTTCCAGACCCAGACACGTTGGGAAGTATTTGATACATAGGTCACCTGCAGCTCCTTCTGCAGGTGGTACAACTCCAGGGGCACCATATCATAGTGCACAACGGCCCCTCGTCGTTCCCATTTCCCATGCAAAAGAAGAACGCCAATCATCTCACTCTGTGTCTGTTTCCGTCTTGTCACTATTATGCATGACAGGTTCATCCACATCCCCCGGCAGCACTGCAATCCTGTGCAGCAGCGAGGACTTTGCCATGCAAAAGCTGCTGCACTCTCGCCGATGCGTCTGGTGCTGTTCACGCATCACATGTGAGGGCGTCGAGCAGCGGGAGCTATCGTGCACTCTCCGATACTCCAGCTTTGACAGCTATCCTGTGCAAAAGTATCGCTATCGTTCCAGTGGAAATAACCGCATGACAAATCTTCTCAGCAGGTTGAGAGAAAATGAAAATCAGGAACATTATATGCGGATTTTTCACCTTCACAAAAAAATGCATGTCTCCAATTAGTACGAGTGCGTGTACGACACTTTGCTCTGCATACAACCGAGAAGCCTGCAACGTGTATGATGAAGTCGGACTGTATCCACGGCAAACAAATTCCCCGCACTCGTCCAGATGCACTTTCTGCATGACAAAACGTTCCCTCAATCCTATTGAGCATGACAAGTAGCATGTTCTTGCTCTAAGAAATTGGCGAGTTAATTTGCGATGCATTTTGTACGACGTGTTGTAGTTGTACAGGAATTTCGTTACTGTGGATAAACTTGTCCTGTCTCAGCCGCATGGTGTCTGCTTGTTGACGTCCGCACAGTAGAATCAGAAGGTGTAGTTGTAAAAACAGTGCCTGCTTGTTCTGGACGTCCGCACGGCAAGATCAGGAGGTGTACGTGTAGCAAGATGTATGCAGGGCAAAAAATCGAAGGAATGCTTTCAACAACAACAACGTCCTGTGGAAATAAGCAGGTCCACCATTTGCAAATAAGTTTTGGTGCGCCCTCCTCTGGACTTTCGAGCATCAAAGTCAAAGTCCTGTATTTCTGCATGAGGAGTCAATCTGTGCTACGCCGCCAGGGGAGTTGTTCTCATGCAGGACCACAGTCATGGTCAAGCCGCCATCAACGCAACAAAACTACCTGTGAAGATGTAGTTGCGGGGGCATGATGTGTTCTATTACTATTTATGCGCCGTCCAGTACGTGCGCGACGGCGAGAAGTGGGCCACAACATGCAACATCTGTGGGGAAAAGGTAGTTCCAGTGGCGTAGCCGCTGACGTAATATTTTTTGCACTTGGTAAGCTAGATCGGCCTCAGGAGGGACGGGATGGCGCGGGTTCCAATACGAATAGAAACCCACGTGACGGGGCAACCGGATCGATGCTATTGGTACACAGCTATCCCAGAATGTAGATCTGCCACGACTGCAAAGGTAAGACGGCACCTCGACCGGAACTCCAGCAGGCCACATCAAAATGAAAATATTCATAAAAGTTTACGCACTTCTTGTTGCGGTTTTTTGCACGATTGTTGACTGAAGTGCGACGTTTATATCCGAGAGCTTCGCTTTGCTGCGATTTATTGTACTTGTACTTCTACTTTGTTCTTCATCCACCTTGTGCTTGCGGTTGCGTAGTCATTATCACAGCTACTAGTCATGCTATTCATTTTATTCTTACACTGCATAAAAAATGAGGTTGTTGACTGAGCAGTGCACACACTATCTTTCTCTGAACGGAGATCAAAAATTTATCATGTCGCTGGGCGAAGCGAGATCACACCAATGTTAATGTTTTGCATTCAGTTTTATTATTCGCGGCGTTCTACCAAAATAGAATTATCGGAACAAACATGTTTGTAGTTGACTTGTAGTGATCTGAAAAATCAAAATCAAAATCAAATGAGCAAAATAGCGACGCGCGAAGAGCAAGAGCAACAGGGAGCAACCCGACCACGACCTCGCCAGAAGTGGTCATCTTCAGCTCATATCTTGTTTCATCTTGTGTTTCATCTGTTTAGTATCACGCCGCAAAGTAGGGGAAAAAGTCGTTCTTGCAGTTGTTAGCGATGAAGAGGATCTCGCCGTTGTTCTATGTCGTGTTGCGACTCATTGCTTCTTGATCTTGATCAATCGGATTGAACCACCAGGAGCATTAACATGAAAAAGTCGAAACTTGCATCACAGGCTGCTTTTCCAACATCTCTCTGCGACCAAACAAACCGCGACAATTGTTAGGGCAAGGGCTTAGTATTGACCGTCAAGAACCAGCGAGGCAAAATAGTGAAAGGGAGGACGAAACTGGTGGTAAGTACCATTGAAAAACATTCAACGTGAAAAAATGTGGGACTACGAGAGGAACACCGAGAAGAGCATTAATCTGTGTGCCTGTGATGTTGTTCCCTAGCCACGATGAGTGCGACCACCACCTGTATGATTATTGAAAGTGCGTCTGCTTTAACATGCTGAGAGAGTCTCTATTTCCTTTGGTTTGGTTATTTTTACTTTTATGAGTTTCATCTCGACGTCTTTACGAAATGAAAATTGACAAACAAATTTAAGATTCGTTTGCTCCAATCGCGACGAACGACAGATGACATCAAATAAGCTTTGGGTAATTTGAATTTGATGAAACAGTTCACTCCCCCGTCGTTAAGTGTACATAACTTGGAATCCTTCATGTCCTCTGTCTTCGGCGCTATACTAACTAAAGTAACTCTATCTCTAACTCTTCTATGCTCTACAATTACAAGTTTGCTGTGCACGCACACAATGCAGCAACGTACAGTTTCCAACCTCTTGGTATTACTTAGGTACCCAGTATGACAGGTTGAGTGATGGCGTCGGCGCTGGAACAGATTAGGATCGAGTATCTTACCTGGGTACTAGTACCAGCAACTTAGAAGTAGAACAGGAGACTTAGCCCCTACCATATGCCACATTTTGTCATGCTGAAATACGTAGATAACTAAAATAATAGGGCTGGCATGTGATGCCATATTTTTACAGTATCAATACGGAAATAACTACTTTATTACCGTGGATAAGATCTTTTTCGGCGCGATCAACTGTATGGAATTGGTAGGCGCCGGGAAATCATCAACACGGGAAACATAGTCTGCGTTGCGTGATGAAATGCTAGCCATACTAACTAGAAGTGGTGGGTGCCTAATGTGTTACAGGTAAAAAATAAGCAAGAAATTGAGCCCAACGGGTTGATTCTTGTTGCTGCCTCGTCTGTCCCGCAGAGTCAAAGAAGGAACGGTGAAAGTGCAAGACCACGGAAGCGCTTTTATTCGTTACCCCGAAGGGCGTGCGTATGGCTGCAAAAAACAAGTCACTCTCTCTAGGTGCTCCTGCTAGCAAAACTTGTCACGCGCCGCTTGGAAATGGCGGGGCCGCAATCCAGAGAGAGTCGATGATCCTATGCATGATGGCAAGCGATTACCATACATTATTCCCTTTTTGGTGATTTCCCGTGCCCGCCTAATTATACTCCCATAAACTGCGGCGAAATTTATACTAGTAATTTAATGTTTTCTTTATGAGATGCTGAAAAATGACATAGCTGTGATTGTGGGAAGCTTAGCTTAGCAACATGAAAATGCGCAAAAGAAAGTGTTTGTGTTGCTAAGATACAGACCGCCTTACTTTGTAAAAGACGAAAGAGCAGCAGCAGCTCTTGCAAACCGCAGCACAGAAAGAAAACAACGACTCGGCTGGTTAAGAGAGTTACAACAATAAACTAAAAGCATTCAATGAATTAACATGATCGATGCCAAACACTAGATGACAATGACATTCCTGAGTTGTTTTCTACTACGCCAGCCCTCCTGCTTGTTTTCTACTGTACCGGATCACTCATAATCCTTTCGCCACGTGGACGTGTATTTTTTTTCTAGTAGTTCGACGTCGACCGCATTCCCTTCCTTGCGATCAATCAAGATCCTGGCACGCCCGAGCTTCTCTTAGTGTAATGGCTAACGCTAGAAGAAGACACATTCAGGACTCTATGCGCCATGTGCTTTGGAGCGAGGTAACAAAATAAAACAAGAGGGCCTCGGGGGACCTCTTGTCCGCCCGGCCGGGTGGACAAGAGGTCCCCCCCTTTCGCTGCCGGAGCGGCTGGCTCGCAGAAGTCCCCCCGCGTCG